AGAAGCGACCCCCAACATGATTTAGTAGACAAGACATTTGGTTTTTTATTTATTTTATGAACAGTTTCAGTTTCATTTAGTTGTTTCGAATGAGAATTCCGTTCCTTTCCTTGTTAATTATGGAAAAAAGAAAAGCATAAAAAAAGCGTATACAAATTCACTAGAGCGGGGACTAGCGTTGGAATTTTTTTTCGACTTCATTAAAGTTGATTTAAACATTTTTCTAAATGCATACTTAACTTGACCACTTTTTTGTTCAATTTATTTTTAAATAAAATTTTTTTTTTTTCTATTTTCTGTTCATTGTTACTGTTTTGCGTACTGAGTTGCGAAATGCTGATTATTATTACTTGCATTATGTTCTTTAATTAAATTAGTCATTAGTTTAATGGCTTTACATGGAGATAGTAAAGGCACGAATGAGTCTGCATTTGCTAGCAAATGTCTGGAAGAAGGAGAGTGTTTCAAATGCCAAATCAGGTTAATACTTTAAGAGAGCAATAAAAACTAATATGAATATGTGAGAGCGGGAGAGCTGCTCCTACTTTTTGTATTCTGTTTTGCCTCGAGCGCCATAAGAGATGCAATGCATATGATGCGATTAAGCGATAAGACACATTTAGTAAGTCGCAATTTAAGGTTCTCTCTCTCTGTCTCTCTCTTTCAATCGTGTAAGCAGTGTGCCTCGCATCTAGTTTCTTCATTTCATTTAATCTCTCAGCAATTATGTCTTTCGCTCTCTCAGCAACAATAACAACAAAGTGTCGCACTCTCGCTCTCAGACCCGAACCACTCGGGCCCTGTTTAAAGCTTAAGAAATAATTAACGGGACCTTACTCTGCTGCGTAGATCATTTTAATTTGCTTATGCTATTCATTTTTGTGTTTGACTTGACAGCTCTTAATACCCTTTATTTAATTAATTTACATATACATATGTCTTTCCTATTGTTTTAACCACTGATTTCCTTGATTCCCAGACCAAATATCTTAACCAATGGATAAGCTTCAAATCAATAAGTTATCCATAGGAACCCTTCAAATACAAGGTATTAGGAAGGAAATTCCTAATTCTATTTCAAAGAAAGAAACAAAAACAAGATACAAAAAAAGTTGAGCAACTCTTTCAAATAGTCCGCCGTCTCCGACTGACTGACTGCATTGTTGCAAAAGTGCTGGAGCTGCAATACCGCTGTAGAAGTAGAGTCCCAAAGACTTGGCCAAGAGATGCCTGGGTATGTCATGGTCATGCTTCGAGGCTCTTGAAAATAGTTGACTGTGTTTTTTTTTTCTTTCGCCGAGTCTTGGGTATTACTTTGTTGCTGTTTTTGGCGCTGTCTTTGCCGCTCCTCTCTCTTGTGCAGACAACAACACGAATTGAAAATTGTAAAATGTCGCCGTCTTGCGGGGAGGTCTGCAGGGGGAAAGGGAGTTCAATGTCGATACGGATTCGGTGGGGAAAACAAGTTTACGTCCCGCGCCAGACACAGACAGCGGCAGCAACTAAAAGTACAACAAAAAATTGGAAAGACTGGCTGAAAGGAGTCGCATCTTTATATACCTACTAAGATGCATAAGAATTATACCAGCTATAGGAGTAATATTGTTTAATATATAGAAACCTTTTTCATATAAACAGACACGAACATGGCATTATTGCCACAGATCTTTAATCTGATCAAGAATTCATTACCTTTATGGAGATGCCTACCACCAGCTGATATTAATCAAACCCTCTATAATAGGTACAACAAGATTACGCCAAAAAATGCAGATGAAGCTGACAGCATCGTCGACTACGACGATGATGTCGGTGTTCATTCGCCGCAAAGTTGCATATGGGTCGCTGCTCCATTTCCACATGGACGCCACTGCCACAGCCACATCCTCATCAATTGCCGAACATGCAGCAGCAGCCGTGGCAGCAGCAGCAGGACGACTCCGACGATCTTTGGCTGCATAATTGCCAGTCTAAATCAATGGGGCGCAAGTTGTTGCCGCTGTGTTGTATGTTGTATCTTGTATGTTGTTGTTGTTGCTGTTGCTGTTGCACCCATACATGACTCTGTAGGACTTCATTGTCAACGATGTTGCCATTGCCGTTGCCGTTTGCATCGTCATCGGCATCGCCATGTCCCATGTCCGTCTCGGTCGTCGTCAATATTTGCCATGATCTTATCGTCAAGCAAAGTCATGTCGCTGCCATGGCTTTGGCTGTGGCTGTGGCTGCGGGTCTCCATCCGCCTCTTCTCCTCTGTCGTCTCACCTCTTTACACTGGAATTGAGCTGCAGCAGCCAGAGACGATGCAACAGCAGCAGCAGCCGGGTGCACTTGGGAGCAATTATTTTTAAAGATACTCTAACATTTAATGGGCATTGTAGATACATACATATATTTACAGAAGGGACATCTAAACACACATATGTATGTAAACATAATGGGACTACGAGCTTCTCTTTTTTTAACGGCATCGAAATTATTTCTGTGTAGGCCCGCGTACCTCGGAGACCAAAATAAAAAATGTATAAAACTTTGTAGGGTTTTATCATGCGAAAGGGTATTTACTTTTCGCTTTTGATAGGCATTGATCTCGAATTTTTCTGGCGATCTGTCACCGTTCCAGTGCCTCTGCCTTTGGAGATTGCACTTCATCTTTTTCGCTGAATTATGGCAAAAGACCTTGGACTTAAGCAATAGCCTCTTCTATATGTATACTCGTAGCCCCGCACAGCCGAGCCAGCAGTACCGCGCGTCTTGCACCCGCACTTCTGATCCCAGAGGCAAGCCTCGCCGCTACTCTAGATCCTTCACTCGAACCGATTCACTCGATTCTTCGTGCTCTGCTGTTGCATCCTCCTCCGCGTCCAATAGTGCAATTTGTCATTGCACCGTCAGCGACGACGCGTGCGCCAGCATGTGGAGACTGGAGACTCGCGAAGCTGGAGGTAGCTCCCCCTCCTCCATTGTCATCTATCGCTTGCTGCCATCTGCTGACAGTTAAAGCGACTCTTGGAAGCGAACTTACATAGCTGCAGCAGGCAGGCAGCAGCTAACTGCATCTGGCGACGACTCGGAGCATCTCCTGCTGCGTTTTGTTGCGGACTCCGAGTCGCGAGGCTGGCGCTCCTTCAACGACTTCTTTATGGCTCTTGATTTTTATGATTTTTCTGTTTAATGGTTCATTTGTGTGCCTCGGCTATGTAGAGGAATACGAGGCACCACTCCGACAAGCGGTGTATGTGTCTGGCTTCCAGTTTTCTTATCGCCCCGTCTAGATCTGCTAAGATTGTTTTTTTTTCGCTAGTTTTAGTTTTAGTAGCAGTATTTTTTTATATATTTGTATGTATATTTTGCTTGTTTTTGCCATCGTCGCGTCGTTGCCATCGTCGCGTCGCCAGTTGGCTTGCGGCTTGTCTGCCTTGCTTAATCTCTCTCCTCGGAGCACTACTCTCTTTTTTCCCTCTTCGGCTCTTTTGCTGTGTTAGCCAGGAACGTTTTGGGGCCAACTTGTTTACCCAATGCGCATTGACCAAGTGCGGAGTTATGGCCCGAAGGAATTTCTTACTGCCATTTTAGAGGAGCATTAAAAAAAAGAGCGCCATTGTGTGTGTTTTGTTGTGGTTCTTGTCAATGGTTAAATTTATGTTGCATACTTTGTGGCGGACAAGCGGAACGGAGAAAGGATGAATGGTAAAAAAAAAGCCAACAGATGTCTTCATTTCCTATTAAATTGTGGCTCTCTGTGGAACTGCCTTGGTGGAATTTCCGAGAGCGTTATACGATTTAAAGATTACCACATAAAAGAGATGGTTGGGGCAATGAAACAATAGATTAAAACCAGAACGTGTTTATGATTTAGGAAAGCATTGCTAATGTCCCACATTCCATAGATCGATTTGGAACTCAACCGTGTCCCGCGTCATACGGACGTTTCCCTCGATCGCGATCGATCGGTTGGTAAAAGATAGCCTTCGTGGCTGCTTCGGCTTTGTGTCGTTTGTGCCACCTGAATATGTAATATATATGTAACTGTGCGAGCCGCATCTATCTGGCAACGACTTCTATCTATGTATCTCCTCCCATGAATTGTATCCGCCAACTACTGACCAAACCCATGATTATTGTAATGAGAGGCAACTGAGAGAGCTGCTGTTGACACGATTTGGGGCTAAGCCCGGCTCCCTATTATCATCATTCAGCATTTACCATTAAGCACTGACCCTCCTTTGGAGCAGAAGAGTGAGAAGAGGAGTCTACGCATTCCTCCAACTGTCGGGCCAAATCCCGCAGACTTATTTGCGATCATCGCCTGTCGTTTGCTTTGGCCATTTGCTTAACTGCCGCAGTGACACCTTCTGGTACCCACAAGTCCATGGCCATGTTCATGTCCATGTCCAAGATGAAGATTGGGTATGGTGACTGGCGGTATGGGGTATGGCGATGACGCGGGCAATGGGGTAATGGATAATGGCGCCGCCTCCATTCAAAAATCACTTTATGGCTGCGCGTCTGAGGTTCGCAGTCTCGGGTTCCTTGTTCATAATTGGACGCGGTGCCAATCATTTTAACAGCTACACAAACACGCAAGGAATAACCGGCTTTCCCGCCTCCGTTCTTCTTCTGCAACTCCATGACGATAATGCAAAATAAGCAGAAGGAGACGTACCACCAGTCGAAGTCCACTCCAAGTCCCAGTCTCAATGACAATTGGCGCCATAGCCCCGGGGTGCGTCGTCGTTCCTCTTCCCTCTGATGTTGGGGGCCAAAGTCTGGCGAAGATCGGTCTGCGCTGCGCAGCACTGCGGTGCGGTTCGTTTGCTTATAATTAGCCATCGCGGTTGGTCTCGGGTCTGGGGTTTGGGGTCTGGGGCCTGGCCTGCAATTCAAATTAATGATGGCTACTGGTGTTCAGAGCCAGCTTCTTTCTATTTTTATGGCCGATCAATTTTCTAACAACACAAACCCCTCCCCTTCTCCTTTCCTTCTATGTTTCTTTGCAGGCGGAAATGCTCATGGATGATGCGTCGCTGCTGGTGCCGCTTGGCTTGGTGGGTGCACCGGTTGTGGTGCCCCTAGTGGCTGCCCATCTTCAGGTGTCCCACAAGGCTAATCCACAGTTGGACATTCCAGGAAAGAAGGTTCTGAAGGGTGCTGGTGCGGGTGGAGCACCCGCCTTGGATGCGTACCACTACCAAATCATGTACGCTCACTGCGTGCAGCAACAACAGCAGCGGGAACGAGAGCAACAGCATCACCAGCAGCAGCACCCACACCAGCATCCACGGGGGGCAGTGCTAGTAGGGCAGCCACAGCCACCTCCGCAGCATCCACATCCGCATCAGCCACCACATCCCCACCAGCCGATGAGCTCCTCGTCGGCGTTCCGCCCGTGGGGACCCACCACCACGAAGGCCTTCCTGCACGCCTACAATGCGACCCTCTCCTCTCTGCCGTACGCCTGCCAGGAGCCGCCGGAGCTGCAGAATCCCGAGCGCGTTGTCCGGAGCACGGACAAGCGGTACGCGGAGCGGACATACCAGCCGAATGTGGCGCTGGCGCCACGCAAGAGCATACTCTCCAAGGAGCGGGACAAGGACAGGGACAGGGAGAGGGAGCGCGAGAAATTGGAGCGTGAAATGGAACGCCAGAGGGTGCGAGAGAAGGAGCTGCATCTTCACATCAAGCAGGAGAGAGACGACAACACACCAACGCCCACGCCCACTACGCCGCCGGCAGGAGAAGCTGTGGATGTAGTGGAGCCACCGCCCAGCTCCTCCAGCTGCAGCAACTCCCCCAAGCCCCTGCCCGCAGTCGCAGCAGCATCAGCAGCACCACAACCAGCCACCAGACATGTGCCCTTGCCACGCAGTCCGGAGGAGTTCTCCGCCGGCAGCAATGAGATAACCTCATCCACATCGCCCGTGCCACTGAAGCAGCCACAGCAGCATCCACAGTTACATCCCCAGCAGCAGCATAATTCGCACCCGCACGCGCAGCAGCAGCAGCACATCATTGCCACCGTCAATCAGCATGCGAAACTGTTGCCCAGCTCCAGTTCCATTTCCATCTCGAATGGAACCTCCACCAACAGCAACGGAAGTCACAACGAACCAAGTCGAATCAGGATCAACAAGAACCTGATGAGTCAGCCAGCGGAGCCGCCACCACCTCTACCATCGATGCTACATCACAATCTCCATCACAACCACCACTATCCTACCCTGGGACACCACATGGGTGAGGCACAGGCACAGTCCTACTACAAGGGTGGTGTAATTGGTAAGACTATTTCTTATTCATAAAATGACTGCTACTGAAAATATTGCAGCAACTAAATTAATATCCGTCCTAGCGACATATCTCCAGGCGACATATCTCCTGGCAGGCCCTAACGACATATCTCCGCCCAGAATCTAGCGACATATCTCCTGCTGAAAAATGTATGGCAGGAGATATGTCGCCCAGATATATGTCGTTACCCCATCGTTTCCACTTTCTCTATCGAACAAATAATGTATTCATTCAAAACTATTACAGGTGGAACCTCCCCCACGCAGTCTTCCAGTGCGGGCCTCAACCTAAGCACCCACTCCTCGAATGTGGTAAGCTCTCCGCATCAGCAGACAACCAAGCAGCAGCAGCAACACCAGCAGGCGTTGCAACATTCGATGCAGCAGCAGCAGCAACAGGCAGGAGGAGTAGCAGTCCATCTGCAGAATGGTAAACCCCATTTGGGCAGTGAATTCGAGCTGTCCACAGACACGGACGATGACAGTTTGAATGGAGAGCCGGATAGCAGTGCAATGCTTCCGCCCTGGGAGCAGGCCGTGGAGTATCTCCGAGAGACACGTCCTAGGGATCGGGAGAGGGTGCTGCAGCTGCTGCAGAGGCTTCTGCAGGAGAACCAACAGTTCCGCTACAACAATATGCAGCTTAGCGACCTGCTGCACAAGCAGGATGCCCACATATCCGATCTGACAGAACAGCTGCAGCGGTATCGCAGGCAGCTCGAGGATCTCGACTGCAAAGTGGAGCTGAGGCGAGTGGTGCCATTCAAGCAGCAGACGCAACTGCTGGAGGACCAGGTGGACGAAGGCGAAGGCGAGCAGGACGAGGATTTGGAGGAGGAGCAGGAGGAGGAGGAGGACCGGGCCAATAACAATAACCAGCAGGAGCAGCAGCAGCAGCTGATGAAGCCGCAAGCGAATGGCCTCCGAAAGAGTCCCACGCCCCTCAATTGCTGCGGAGCAGAACCCAAAGAGGATACTGAGGCCGAGCCGGAGGAACCTGCCACCAAAAGAGCAAAGATGCAGCCAGCTGAAATGGCGCCCTCCCAACATAATGGAGATACCAAGATGAATGGCAGTGCCAAGAGTCCTGTTCCCAGTCAATCCGCCTCTAGCGACGAGGAGGACATGGAGGAGGAGGAAGAGGATGAAGATCCCGACGAGGTGGTGCAGGCACCGCATAGCAGTGCCCTTGTCACGCCGCCCACAGCCACCACGCCCATTAGTCCCGATTCGGCTGCAACTGCGGGACAGTTGTTCGACAGCAGCAACAGCAGCGACGAGTCATCGATGAAAAAGGCCCAAATGTCGGCCTGCCATGCCCTGGCCAAGATGAACAACAACCACAAGGATAATCGGCCACAGGATGAAGAGGACTCCTCTGACGATGAAATGCCATTGCAACAGCGCCAGCAGCAGCAACAAAGACTACGCCAGCGATCCTTCAGCAAAGAAGGATTATCAACAGGATCTAGATCTGCCTCTATGTCAGATGAAGACGAGGCAGTGCCTCAAACCACCATCCTCCCAGCGACACCACCTGCCTCCGCACCTGCCACAGTTCATACTCATCCACCACCGATGGCCACCAAGGCGAGCAAGAAGCAAACGCCTCCATCCCTGGGAGCACTACCCATCATCACAGCTCCTGTCGGAACCGCCGCCACCACAACGAACTGCGAGTTACAAATCAAAACTGAGATTGCCTAGGCAACCCATATTTCCATCCTCAGCCTCTACCCCATGAAAGGATATATAGCTTCCTCTCCCAGAATATAGCTCTTTCACGACACACACACACACACACACACACAGCAACAGTAAATTCTATCTTTAAGATTTCCGCCCTTTTTTTTAAGGCATAAGTTCTGCTATAGGAAAAAAAGAGTCCACAAACAAATTCAAGCACAAAGCCGAGACGCACATTACCCCCTACTTGGGGTATTTTCAGATGACATTTTGGAAAGCAGGGAAAACATTTTCGAAGCTCAAACTCCATTAGGAATGAAGTAACTTTACAAAATTGTTTCCATTAGGTTTTGTCTGGACTATAAAGTTTTTATATACGATCGTTAAGTCTGTTGAGTGGGCTCTATATTATAAAAATGACCTCAAGCTTCTTTCGAACGATATGTTTTTCACCGACTCTTTTTCAAGAAATATTAGGTTTAAAATACGTTGATTCGTTATAAAAATTATACATACAAAAATATTCATAGAATCACACAAACAAGAGACATTCGCCCCGAGTGAATTATAATTATATATGAATATAGCTGAGAAATATCAAGTATTATGGTAAAGAATATAATCAGTCACTGTTTGGAGGAATATTGAATGGCTTTGACGTGTGAATGACAAAATGTATTCGCAGGGAATTCCTTCAGTAGAAAACGTATCGTCCGAATGCAGTTAAACAACCTAAATCTTTGTTGATTCTAAATTCGAAATGTTTAATAACTTTGTACGCTTTTACATAGCTTGATTTGATCTCAAAACAAAAACAAAAAACAAAATTCGTTAGTCTTCCTTCTAAAGATATTTCGATATTCTCTTGACTTTGCTTGCAGAAATTATAATTGAAACCAAAGCTTTAAAAAAAAATATATATATATTAATAATTTTGTGTATATTGTTCAACAAAACCTTCAAAAAAGAAAAGAAAAACAAAAAATTGAGACCAACTATGCGTGTGTTTATACCATATACATATACTTTTACTTATTAAAGTTAATTTAGGTTTTAATTTGTATAATTTTTTAAGATTTGCAAGACATTTAAAACAAGTAATGAACAACAACAAAATATAATATTCAAAGCGAGGCTTCGAAGACAAAATTTAGGAAAAACAATACTTCAGACAACAGAAAAAAACAGAAGGCAGCTGGTTCTTATAGGTGGAAAGATATACCATACTCTGGACACCATTGTAATTATATTTAGTTTAATCCTAAATTTAAGTTTAACAGACAGCAGACAGCGACAAAGAGAGAGAGCTAGAGGTAGAGCAGAAATTCACACAAAATGAACCCACCACAAAAGAAAAAGTAAAATTAATGCTTAACAATTATAATATATAATTCTTAACAAAAAACAAACAAATATTTAAAAAATACAAAACTATGAAGTTGCCGCGTTAAACTTTATACCATACAAAATTTGAAAATTATCTACATATGATATATGATAAAGATAGATCGACAGATCAGAGACGAGACGAGAATAGAGAAGTGCAGGATTATTCGATTCTATAGAATATGAAGCATAAATATATAGAAAACCACAAACGCATACACATAAAGATTAATATTTATTGAAGCTTCTAGTTCTAAATCGAGTACGATTACGAGTAGATCTTTAAACTACACATACAGGAAGGCTCCGGCTTTCACTTTCACATAAAACTTCCGGGGAGTTAGTGGCTCCCGTATTCGTAAAACGCAAAATGTTTCCGTTTTCAAAACGGCAACATATTCCTCGCCGAAACGAAAAGTAAACGGCTTTTTATACAACAAAACGAATCTGAATGCAAAAAGAAAAGAATAGATGACTTTCTGATGCATTGACATGAATTTGCCACCATTAATAGTGAGCTTTTACCCTTTTTACAAATATTTTTATTTTTTAAGCCAAACCTCAATTTTGGATCTGAAAAAATTGGTCTTTGCAACAGCGAAAAGTGAATTTGAGAGATAAATCTTTCTTAAACATAACAGAGGCCCTTTTATATGAGCTGGCACTAACGCGTGGGTATACTTAACAGCAGTAAACTTTACGCTCAACAGTACAGGAAGTAAATAAATCGACTTTTGGCTGAAAACATAAAACGCAAAGTGAAAGTGAAAGAGCCTGCCTGATAGTCTCTTTTTTTGTTCATATTCAATTGTACACCTTGTAAGCTGTAGCTTTGCTCTGTAGACATTTAGTTTCCTAGATCGTAATACAATATACTAAATAGATGCTAGGGCACTTTTCTCTACTACTACTTCTATTCTACTCCTTTTTTTGTATATATGATTTTCTTTCGATGAATGGAAGATACGATGATGGATTTTAGTTGCCAACACAAACACTTTGTGAGAAACACATAGATATAATGTACTACAGAGATATTCACCTGGATGATGACAACCAACTGGAAAAAAACGAAACAAACCCCAAACCCGAACCCAAGCCAAGAGCCAAGCGAAAAAGCGCAGAGATTTTAAAAATCTATAAAATTTTGTTATTTAAAAAAACATTTCATACATTATTTATGACTGTGTGTGTAAATTTTCTTAAAGAAAAAATTTCGTTCTATTTCTAAATTAAAAAAAAAAAACATTTAAACTTTACAAAGGAAACAACAACAAATATTTAACAAAATAAATTCAAACCAAAATTTGTCTAGAATTTAAGCTAAAAATTGTGTAAAATTGTATAAATTTAAACAAAAAAAAATAACAAAAAATTGAAAACGTAAAACTTATATTAATGAATAACGATTTAAATTTTGAGGAATTAAGCAACCAAAACAAAAACTGTTATCCATATTAAAAAAAGTAATAAAGTTATATGTATAAATTATATGCAGCAAAAAAAAAAACAAATTACAATTGCTATGCAAGAAATAAAAAACGACAAAAAATATATACAAATTATTGTAAATTAATTCTTTTCCAATTTTGTGTTTCATTTTTTCCACAAAAACAGAACAGAACCAGAATCGATAATAAACAGAAACAGAATAAACTTAATAAATTATAGAACAGAATAGAATGGAAGATAAAATGGTTAATCAAACGCGTCAAAACGGTTTTCAGAAAATTTCGTATTTATGGCCAAATTTTACAAACGATGAAAATAGTTGAAAGAATACAAAACGATGAGCAAAACCCAACAAACAGATTTTTTGTATCATTTTTGCTAACAACCCAAAGACAAAACAAAACAAACAATCATTTTTATAATTAAACGAGTAAAATATATTGACAAATTTTACATAACCCGAGTGTTTATATACGACGACATATTATATATTTAAAACAAAACAAAAAAGATAGCGCGATGCCCAACAAAATAAAATATTTGCCCCGCTTTAAAAAGAATCGACTTGATATTGTTAAAAAAAAAGACAAAATAATGGCATAAGTTTATATTAAAAGAAAATGCAGTAGCAACAAAACCTCGTCTTGTCAAACACACAATATATTGAGTGGATATAAAATGATTATTATATTTATGTGCCGATGACGGTTCAGAAGAATGCAGAAATAAAATGTACAAATTGTGGAGCAAATAAATGATAGAAAATGTAGTAAGAATTTTGGGGGGAAGGAACACGACAGAAACAAAAATAGCACACCACAAAAATGCAAATACAGTTTAATAGAATTAAACAGTTGATGAAAATAATGAACAACATTTGACTTTAACGTTTCATATTAAGTAGTGCAGAAACAAATAAACAACCATACACACACACACAAACAAACAAACCGATTATTACATATGTAAAGAAAACAAAAAACCAATAAATAAAAAACGATAAATTATGCAAAATATTCCTTTTCTATGCGCATTTTATTTGATCGATAAAGAGTGGACAATTGGCGGAAATTAAGTTTTACAGTCATTATCCCTATGCTTCGTTTGATCGGAAAGTATCCATCCTTGAAAGTATGCCATAATTTTTAAAAATATTAACTTAAGAGTGGCGCCTTCTTAGTGTCTGCGTCCGTTTCTGGTACTACCAGAAAACACTGGTACTCCTGTTCCTGTTCGGTTTATTATTATGTTAACATTAAGACCCTACCAAATAAATTACACCATGAGAAATTTTATAATTTTTAGACATTTAAACAATAAGCAGTTCTTAAAAAAATAAAACACAAACTTTGGGATCTATCAGAAATAGTAGGTTTTATTATTCTTTTGGCTGTTACATAATAAATTTAATTTGACATTACATTACATTCTACATGTGTAGAATACATGTAAAATTTGAAAATTGTACATTTAATTTGTGTAAGATACATGTAAAATTTGAAAATTATACAAGTTTTTAACCCAAAATAACCAAAAAAAATGCCAAACCTTTTTTTTTTGTTTTTATGGTGTACTTTTTTTGCAGTATTTTTGTTCTGTTTTTCAAGTAAAATTTTTGTAATTTGCATATGGTATTTTTTCAACATTTAATAGGGAAAAAAACAACAAATAAGCTTTAATTAAAAGCTCAATTAAAAGCTCTTCTTAAATTTTAACCAGTTAAATATTTAATTAATGCCAGCTAAATTTAAAAAAAAATCAAAACAATTTAAAAATGTAATTTTTACTGTAAAACTGTGGAAAAAAAGATTTGTTTAAGAAAAAAAAAGAAAGTACGTGCACGCTTCAAGCCGAGGACCCCCGGATCGGAAGGTCTCGACTTAACCCACCGAACCACGCTTTGCTTGGTTTTGCTGTACATAATGCAGCATTTATTCCAAAATGGCGCAAATAAAAAGAATTTCTTTAGAAAAAAAAGGTAAGAGCCGAGAGAAGCAAAACAAAACAGATTCAATTTTGTTTACCTGCTCAGGTGAAGAAGGGATAGTCAGGTTTCTCTTTCGCTGGATTTCATCTCTTTTTCAACGCCAGCGCGAAAACAACGCGAAGCGGACAACTAAGTGAGTATTCTCTATTTAATTGAAATAAAGTGACAAAATAGTACACATTATATCCAAATAAAAATACTTATAGTGCTCTCCAAGCCCTCGCATAAATTGGTATAAAATAAACCAAACAATATGAAAGACTTATCGTTTTCTCGGCTCTTTTTTTCGTAGAGCAATTTTGGCTTTGTTTGTAAAGAATTTTCAGGCTGTAACCGGTTTTGTGGCTCTCTTGTTGGCAAACAATAAAAAGAATCTTAAAGAGAGCCTGAAATAGCAACGCTAGTTAAAACATAAACAAAAAACTGGCAATAACAAAATATCGAGATCCATAGGGGGAAATGTGAACACGTGATTAACAATTGTTGGAATTCGCTGAGAAAATATTTTCAAAGACAATTATGAGTCTGCCACAGCTAATCGATGACTTGCAGCGACTTTCCGAGGACCAGGATAGCGCCGATCTGGTTTTCATCTGCGGTCGAGATGAGCGCATCATCTATGCCCACAGGCTGATGCTGATGGCGCGGTGAGTGGTTCATTATTGCCGTTTGAGGCACCGACACCTTACAAGGTGCGTGCTGGCATGCAACATGAAGGAGGAGGTATTCATCAGCCAATTAATTGACTTTGCGATTTTCATTCATTGATTGCAGTTGCATGAGCTTCAAGACGGCCAAGCGTGGCGAGGTCTGCCGCATTCCCGGATGCACCGTGTCACCAGCTGCACCTGGAGCCCCCACGCCCACAACTATACGTCTGCCACATGTTAATCCTGATCTCTTCCGGCAATTCATCCTGTATGTCTACACAGCAAAGGTAATAGGAGGCACATTACTATAATTTCAAATATAGATATATATTTCCCTGTTTCAGTTGGTTCTCCAAGATTCGCAGGTCTTTCAAATGATGATGATGGCCCAAGACATGGGCGTCATAGAACTGCGCACCGCTTGCGAGGATCATGTTATCTCTACACTCTCTGTGGACAATGCCTGCACCTTTCTGACCGCAGTAATGGATATCCATGAGAAAGCAGGTAGGCAAGCAAATATTTAATACAATTTCAAAAATTGCGCGGAAACAGCCACGAGCTGACGAGCTGAAATGTGACTAATAACAGCACAAAAAGTGACCTTTAAACGCAAATGCTAACGTTGTTGGTGCACGTTGAGCTATCGGAATCACGTAACATATGTATGCATGTTTTTTGTTTATTGTTACAACTAATCAATAAGGTAGATGTAATTTCCCGATCTGTTACAATGCAGGGTACAGTGAGTGCCTAGTATTTCTGTTGCTCGCGCTGTAATCTCTGTCCGTACGCACGCGAGATGAGGTTCCACGAGTCCATAAAACGGTCCATACACATTGATATGCATTTCTGTTTAAAGAAAGTTGGGTCATAATCACAATTAAACCTTGCACTTATTCCTATATTACCTGTTCTGACGAATCCAGCGAGGAACCTGGCTTCGATACACACTTTCGAAAGCACTTTTGCGTCATTTGCGTGAGCAGCTCCTGGGCGTTGGCTACGGCTATCTGTTGCTTCACCTGATCCATGATCTCGCCCTTATTTACGTTAGCCATGGCCATGAGTTATGAGTGTTTTAATTTAGGATTATATTGAAAACGTGAAATGCTCTTCGAAAGTGTAAAATCTTACAGTGGATTATCGATGTCTCTGTTAAAAACATTTTCATCGCTGTTAGTCAGCTCTGCTAACAATGTATCGCACTGAAATATCGATATAGTCTTATTGAAGCATTCGATGCAAAGTTTTGCTATCGGTATGGCAGAATTATGTGCTGTATATTTTGTCAATAAATCCGCGGTCACACTGATATCATCCCTAGCACCATCTTGGTGATATATTATATACTTTTCGGGATATTTTGACATCGAAATCGAGTTTAAAGTTGATTTACGGTATATCGGTATATAAAGTATATTTGATTAAGTTCCAATCTATTTTTAAGGTATATTAAAGTACTTTTCAAAATGAGCGCCAAACTCCAAAAAAATACCGATATTGTTTTGCTCTCAAATCATTTTCCGATGATCATGATCTCATGAATCGAAAAAAAATTTGTTGGGTAGTGTTGAAAGTCCTAGCTATCTAGTAATATTAAACGGAATGTCAAAATCGAGGAATATCAACTATCAAAAGTATCGCAAAACCATCGATAGTAGAGGCTAGCTGTAAAATATCGATACTATCGATAGTGCTCTCGATGGTTTGACACCACTACTAGACGCCGGCAAAGAGGGATAGAGCTGTCAAACGATTGATAGTTGAGCCGTCGATAGTTTTGAATGTTTTGAAAAAACAATCGATACTATCGTGATAGTATTTTTTTTTTTGATAAGCTATTTTTTTCTCGGTTTCTGAGGTTCCAGTCCCACTCGACAAAACAAATCAAGTGAAATATTTATTATTCCATACATGTACATTTGAAAATGACCGCCAATCTCATTTAGCGCACAAAAATATCGATATTATTCGCTCCCAAATCGTGGTGGTTTATCAAAATTCGCTCTCAATTCGTGGTGGGTTTTTAAAATTTGCTCTCTTTTCGTGGTGTGAGAAACATGTTCTTAACGGGAACGCGTATGGAATGAAGATTCATTGTTGCGTCATTCCATACGCGTTCCCGTATGATACATTTGATTTGTATGGGAAAAATTTCAGCAACATGGGGAAACGAAGTAGCAGCATTGCTACGGCACGATACCTTGGGAAAATAGATATTATGGACTTGAGATACTGTTTGTAATTTCAGGCTCCAATTAATGCCGAAACTAGCCAGTCTCTTTTGTAAAGACATAAACGAAATTTTTTAGCTCACGGGTACCAATAATAGGTATCAGAACCGGGATAAATGTACATATTGTATATATATATAACAAAACATATGCATTAATAGGTAAAAAACATGTCAATCTAGTATTAAATCATAAATAATGTTTCAATGGAGCTTGGAACAACAAATTTAACATCAATTAAATGAAAAAAGGTATACAAAAGTACATACGCATAAAAGAAACTTGGTTGACCAGCAACACTGACGTCACATTTAGTCAACATTTACGTTTTATGCTTTGGCCGTTTTTGTTTGAACCTTAATATGTATACAATTTAATGAAAAATAGTTCTGAAAACTAGCCAATCCTAAACAAAATCCATTGAGGAATTGGATAAAATTCTTTTTTTTTAGGGCTGAGAGGGCCATCTATCTAGTAATATTAAATTGAATATCAAAATTGACGAATTTCATATCACAAAATATCTTGTTTTGGCAGCCCGCAGCAACTACGAATTGCTCGAGTCTGGCAACGCCACAAAACGCCGACACATTTGTTTTATGTTGTTTTTGTTTAAACCCTAATATGTAAATAATCCAATAAAAAGGACCTATAAAAACTAACCAATCCTAAACAAAATTCATTGAGGAAATGGATAAAACTATTTGTTTAGGGCTGAGAGTCCCAGCTAGCTAGTAATATTAAACGGAATATCAAAATCGAGAAATATTAACGTTGAATGTTTTGAAAAAACAATCGATACTATCGTGATAGCTCTAATAATTATTAAAAAACCATTGAAACCTTTTAGGAACTTGTCCATTGTAAAAATTAGATGCCACCTGTCGATGATTTGTTTACAAATGTGTCTTCGTATCTTATAGCAGACAATCCAAACATATTAAAAGCGTAACGACTGTAGCTCGATACTATCATGATAGTCTCAAAACCATCGATAGTAGAGGCTAGCAGCAAAATATCGATACTATCGATAGTGCCCTCGATGGTTTGACACCTCTACTAGACGCCGGCAAAGAGCGAAATTATTTTTCAATATTAATTAAAAGCGATTTAAAGTAGCCAAAATGTCCTTCAAAAGCAATCCGAAGGTGCAGAAGGTGATGGTGCAGCCCATCAACCTGATCTTCCGCTACTTGCAGAACCGCTCGCGCGTGCAGGTCTGGCTGTACGAAAACATTTCGCTCCGCATCGAAGGCCACATTGTGGGCTTCGACGAGTACATGAATCTGGTGTTGGACGACGCCGAGGAAGTGTACGTGAAGACGCGCCAACGCAAGAGTCTGGGCCGTATCATGCTGAAGGGGGACAACATCACGCTGATCCAGAACGTGAGCCCGTCCAAGGATTAGTGGCGCTGGATGGAACCCGGCCACTATAGATTCACGTCAAAACTATAAGTTAATTATACCTGTAAAGTCAAAACCTCAAAACGAATGAATAATTAATAAATGGAGAACTTTCTGTAAACTCGAGACTTTTCAATGGGAGCTGCCTCCAGGTAAAGGGTTTTCACCTGATTTAAAAGTAATATTTTGTTGGTTTCTTGCAGGGGCCAAGTGCGCGGCATCCTTCATGGAGCGGTGCATTATTTTCATAGGGGAGAATGCCGGAGAGTGCGTCAAGACAAATGCTTTCCTAACGCTCACCAAGGAAGCCATCATCAAGATCATCGCCTCCGACTATGTATGGCATCAGAATATAAGTATTTACATCATCAATTAATTAACATTTCCTTGTAGTTTTGCTTAGAGGAGGAGGAAGTTTGGCGATGCGTTTTGGCCTGGGCCAAGTATCAGGCTGGCGTTACCCAACCGACTGCCCATTGGACAGAGGAGGAACGTGGACGTGTCTGCCAGCACTTGAGTGGCGTCATGGGCCATGTGCGACTGCTGCTGATAGACAGCCAAGTCTTTGCCGAGGAAGTGGAGCCCACTGGGGCCGTGCCAATGGAACTGTCCCTCGAACGCTATCGCTATGCCGCCCTGCATGCCAACAAAATGATGGAAAACGATAAGCGGCTGCAGCCTCGCCTCACCGTAGCCGTCAACATGTTCCCCGGTTCGCAAATACTTCGCAACGACAAACTGCCACTGCAGAGCATCCTCAATGGTTGGTATGGGGTGCCCAAACAATCCTGGCGTCTGGTCTATCGTGCCTCCAGCCACGGCTATGACTCGAGTGCCTTTCATCGGTACTGCGACGGGGTCAGCCACTGCATGGTCATTGGACTGGGGGCACATGGAGAGATTAGCGGAGGCTTCACTGACGTAGCGTGGGCCAAAACAAGTCGTAAAGGTGGATATGTGCACTCGGAGAGGGCCTTTCTCTTTGTGCTGAATCCGTCGAATGCAGATCAGCCGTCCAAATTTGATATTGTTAAGAAACCCTATGCCATCTGCTATCATCCAGAGTGAGTGGATCAGAACATTATCTAAAATGCATTCTTACCTTCGAGTCCTTTCAGTTGTGGTCCCATTTTTGGAGCTGGTGCCGATCTGCTCATCTCTAGCAATTGCAATGTCAACATGGACTCGTACTCAAATCTTCCGCATTCCTACGACGGGCCCAATGCCGCTCACCTCACGCTCTTTGGGGACTACAACTTCACGATCACCGACTATGAGGTGTACACCGTGGCCTCGCCAGGAAGTGGTGTCAGCTGCGGACCCAGTCACAGCCAGAGCCAGAACTTGTCGAGCAATGGCCAGGCCCCAGGTGTGCCCTCAAAGGCAAAGTTCGATAGATACTAGTAGGGAGCGCACAAACGAATCAAAAGCAGAGACAAAACTTGTAGTTGCATCAGCTATGCTTGCTGGCAATAAAACTATTTCCTCGAACACACTCGAACGAACATTGTAATCCCAGATCCGTCACACGGCTTCAGCTTCAGCTAATGGCATTAGGTATGAGGTGAGGTGTTGTCGGGTTCATGACTATGACTTTGCCCAAGGTAAAAACCAGAAATCGAAAGGTAATTAATGAATTGTTATATAAAGAAAACAGTTTTGGTTTTTTTTTTGGCGGCAAGAACCAAATTAATTAACTCGTTTTCTACTTGTATGTAAAGCCAGAGGGCGGATCGGATCGAAAGAGTTCTATAGTTCTATAAACTATTGTTCCCATTGTTGGCGAAACATTCAACTCTCGCATTGAGTGCTCTATATTGTTACAGATCTACTATGCTTGTGTGTATGTATCGCATGCTGAATGCCATGTGCACTTGAACCTGGTCCCGGGGTTGGGTCCATTCCACACCTCTTAAACAGTACCAGCAACCGCCAACTGCCAGACAATTGACAAAGAAAAACGAATGCGTAAAAGGCGATTTCTGCTGGCTATTTCTGTATTTCAGTTTAGTTCAGTTTTAAGCTATAACAATAATATTATAATGAAATCTAGCGATAGACTTTTCTGTGGCACATGGTGATGAAGTTGCTCTCGACTGGTTCTCAACTACTTTTCAAAATGCTTCTGATAAATTGGTCCACGCTCTAAATTGGTTCTGATTTAAGCATTTTTATATGCTGATCGAATCGATCAATTGGCTTTGGGCCAGGCCAGATTCGCGGATTGGGTCTTAGAGACTTCGAGCACCGGGGGCCACCACATTTTTGTCATTCGTCTCGAGCCAGAGATTTGGGGTGTGATATATACTATAATTTTTCTTATTCGTGGTAGTATTCGAGAGAACCCCTCCACAATGACAGCGGGCAGGCAGGCAGCAACAAACACTTGAATGTTTGTGGCGTTTTATTTTATTGTGGCTGCATAAAAGACTGGCAGTTAAAATTTGTTAACGACTTAAGGCCAAAGCTTGAGAGCCACCTTTCGATAAGGTCTACAAATTGTTTTACTTTTGACAGACGACGACAAAAGGCCCGAGGCGATCCAGTCCAGTCCCTGGCTCAATCCAATCCAATCCAATTCCTGGCCAGGCGCTAGAAGGAATGTCATTTCAATTCGATTTCTTGTCAAATTATTTGATTGTCGAGTGGTTTTTTCGGTACGGAGCCATGGCAACAACTCCAACATCCAACCAACAAGTTTCAATGTCTGTGTCGCACGAAAAGGGAAAGGAAAAAAAACCAATATATAAAACTAATGCTTAAAGTTGTTGGTGGTTGCTGGCTTGAACTATGAGCAGAGTGTAAACTTGTTCTGGTCTTATGAAATCGGTTCATATTGCATATGCAACATGCGAGTGAAACCGACTAGGGACGGGCAGGAAGTACGAGTCGGGACTGAATCATTGCCTTCCTCTATGATGTCTCATCGGGGAAAACTCGGAAATGTTAATTGTTCTATAAGGAAACGGATTAATGCACTCCCCCCGTTTATTTGAACATTACCGTACAAAAATCTATATGGAATCGGGAGGAACTTAGCGGATCTTTTACAATGTGTTTAGAATATTTACTACGTTACAGATGGAACCCAAAGAGATTTTACCCTGAAGATCTTTAGCCTTTAGAAATAAATTATTATAAGAGACACTCTTTGTTTCCATAGGAATCTCTTTAGGATTGATATCCTATTTTTGTAGAAACATTTTCCAATTCGCACTTAATTCCCATCCCTGGCTTTTGTGAAAATGTGTGACATATTTGTTTTGGGCTTGGTCAGCAACAGCCCCCATTGAACAAAGGCCTGCCTGCTATTAGCCATGGCCATGGTTATGTCTAAATGTCTCTTGGCCAACACTCAAGCGGTGGCAGTGGCAGTGGCGGCGGCAGCTGGCCAAACCCCCAAGTGTTACACTTTAAGTGTAACTTATTTGCATGTAAGAATGCGAAAAAGGAAAAGTTCCACAATCGCCACCGCAACTGGCCCTGAAATGAGAGCAGCTCGTAAAATCATCACTGGGGTGCAATTTATTCATAAGTACTGTAGGATTTCCTTTTGTTTGGAACAGAGTGATTCATCCTACCCTTAAATGGCATATCAAACTAATACATAGTAGAATTTCTCTGGGAAAGCAAATCGGTGGAAAGATTTTCCATTCAGAATGATTACAGACAGTGAATCATATACTAAACGAAAAGGAAAAAGTATTGGCATTGAACAAGAGAGTCAAAGAATAGTTGATAAAAAATAAGCACTTTGCCTCTAAATTTCTAAACCAATATATGTATAAGCCCTGAAATAGCACTCCCATACGAGTATCTTTATCCTCTCTTTCCAAATAATTCCCATAACGAATAGTTGCTTAAATGATTCATAAGCCAACAGGAGACTAATACCACTTAAGGGCGTATTTCCCTGACACATTCCATAAGCAAGATAAGATCCGAGCCCACCTGTCAGCGGTTGTTGCATCCGTTTCCGCCATTAGACAGTCGAGGTGGGGAGCTCCAGTTAAGAGGTGCTAATATGCAAAGTGGACCCCAATGGGACCCAAGAGCTGACTCTTGCCACCGCTATGACGTAGTCATAGACAAGTCTACGCGCTCGTTCAATCAGCTTCCCCTCCCAATCCATCCATCAGATATGTTATTCATTCATAGCCGCATCATCGCCCATCAATTTTCGCCTGACTGATCGCCTTATGCACTCGGCGTTACAAGCGACATACTTGAGAATTCCCCTCCATCCACCATCCTCCATATCCCCAAACCTGTAACAACTAACCAGATATTCAGTTGGCTAAGAGAGGTTTGGTGACTTGGAGCAGAGAGAACCCTAGAGAGAGAGAGAGGTAGGTAGACTCTCTTAAGCTCATGGAAGCCCGTGTGTAACGACGGGCGCTCTACTGTCGATGCTCTGCACACACAACCAGTTTTGAAAGCACCCACTTTAAAAATACTTTTGCTTTTCATTGCCCTCGACAAAAAATAAAACAGCGCAGACATCGATTTGGTTACTGTGATTAATATGCGTTTTTCGAGGAGCAAACATCGAGGAATCCAGGCATTGACCTAGGTCACAAATTCAGATCTTACAAGTATTCTAATTAGTGGGATTCCTCATGGAGTGCTCCTCAAACCATCACCTAACGAATTCCCTTAGCAAGGCCATGGGTAGCGTGAATTTCAAGTTGATATTTAGCAGCCACAGGTTCAAACCGACTCTAAGTATTTAGTTGATGGAAAAACCCTACTACAAAGCATTTAAAAATGCAACAGCCTCCTCTTGACTCTAAAAATAATAGCAAAATTCAGAAAATTATTCAAATTCGTAGAAAAAGTGTTTCTAAAACTAGTAAATGAGTAAATTGATTAGTTTTCCTAATTATTCTTCGCGGAAAGTATACGCGTGGGAGTACATCTAGCAAATTAACTCGATTCTATATCATTGTAAGCATGTATATTATAACCTCAAAGGGCATTCATTCGTTCATGTGTGTTTCCATTATTTTCCGGTTTTGTTTTATTTTTCGATTTGCCATTCAGCAGAAACAACAACAACAAACACAGCAGCAACAACAACACGAGAGTTTTGCTGAGCAGAGTGTGTGCACGGCTCTGGGACTGGTACTGGCACTCGCAATCGCAAAGCCTCTCACTCTTTCAAGAGTCTCGAGCGCCATAACAGAGGAGCAACTGTTTTAAGTATCGGCGGAGGCAGAGATTTTATTTTTGAGATTTCGATTTGAGTCTGGGCTAGTGCTGGTGGTGAACATTTTTCCTCCCATTTAGTTTTTTAAAGGCGCAAGGCGAGAACGGCTCAGTCTCGATTGTCAGCTTGTCGTGAATGGTTTTTTAGCACAAGATCCGCGGCGTACGAGTGCGATTAAGAGTACGAGTGTAGAGTCCGCCGATCGGTCGTCCGACCACGTAGTCCGAGCCAAAGTCGAACCCAAAGCCAAAGCTAAACTCTGCGGCTGAAGCGTCGCTTAAGTTATTAAAACAACAACTTTGCACATCTATATCTATATACCACATAACTCGCTACTTTGTGTGCGTGTGTATCTGTGTGGAGCAGAGGCAGCAGCCGCAGCAGCGGTTAGTGTGGACCGAGTAGAGCGCTGACTGATTTGTTATTTTTGCATAAATCAATTTCGAGAGCGCGCGCGCGCACTTCGAGATTGAGTTTCGGTTTCATAAATCGCATCCGATCATCGCTGTTTTGTTCTACGCGTAGAATATAGATGATGCCGCATACTCCGCCAGCGGCAGGCGTGAGGCAGCTCCAGTTCGTTGCCTAGGTCTTTCGTATCGCGGAAATCAAATCTGTCCATAAATAAAGCCAATCGATGGCTCTGACCAACTTCTCACTGCCTTTCGGTGCTCTTGGACAGCCCTGGGGCGTCACCCTGGCCCCCCTGCACCCCATCCATCAGCTGGCCAGCAATACCAACAATCTGCTATACTCGCCGGCCGACCATCAGCAGCTGCATCCTCAGCATCCCCAGCAGCAGCAGCAGGGCCCGACAGATCCCGAATTCTTTAAGAACAATCCCTATTCCCCACCACAGCAGGGGCCACAGCCACAGGGGGGAGGCGGAGGCTATCAATACCAGAGTAGACGCAAGCAGAACAACGCCTATCTACCACCCACGGGATTGGCTGCGGCCAATGGGGCACGTAACTCTGTATACCACATTCAGCAGACACAGCAGCAGCAGCAAACACCACAGCAACATCAGCAGGAGGCCAACAAAGAGAACAGTGTCTCCTATCAGAGCTCCTCCAGTTCCAGGTCGAGCAGCGCTGGCCAGGGCACCATCCAGCTGACGCAGACCCACCACTCCACTGGCAGGGGTCCCGGCGAGGGCTCGTACAGCCGCTTTCCCGACCAGCAGAAGCAGTTTTTCAATGCCCAAGGCAGTGCCAGTGCCACATTTAGCAAGAACAGCGGCAGCTTCAGTATTACCAGCTACGGGAGCAGGCAGCAGCCGCAACAGCAACCCCAGACACATCCTCAGGCACCACTAACACCTCAGCAGCAACAGCAGCCTCCCCCGCCAGCTCCACTGCCGCAGCAGCCACGCCCCAGACAGTCGAAGCCTGAGGCACAGCCCGCATCCACCTACGGCGTGGCACCACCCGAAAATTATCCGGAAAGAGCTCCCGGCTTTACGAGGGTTCAGGCGGGGCAGGGCTCCCGCACCCAGGTGCATGCAGTCCTCGACTATGATGTGGAGGAGGGCGATGAAGGGGAAGAGGATGAACACGAGGACGGGCAGTACTACGAGGGACAGGAGAAGGGTGAGTGAGACAATATTTAAGACATATTTAACGGAGGTTTTATTTATAGAACTCCTCAGATTAGTTGTCTCGAATCAAGGAGATCTTTTGAAGAAAATTCTTTATATAATCAACAGCTCAAGTCTTCGTTTAGCTCTAGACGTTGTGGCGTGGCTTAACTCAATAAAAAGAGTAACCTTTAAAGGTTTTTTCTATAATGAATTATAGTTAATTATCTGACGGAATACCAAAATTCATTGAAACTTTCCATAGATCCAGAGGATTTTCTATGTAAAGTTTTTTTTAGTTTTCGAGCTCAAAATGTTTTTAAAAGTTCTTAATTTGAGGTAAACCTTTGAATATAGAATTTATGGTTTAATCCTGAAGAAGTATTTTGTTTTGTAACTTAAGAATTTTTGTAGTCTTGGAAGTTCTAAGCAGGGAAAGGACATGTGATCTGTGATCTCACAGAAAATAAAATAGATCTATGTTCATTAATGTATGCTTAAAGGTATTGAGAAATTATTCTCTAACAAGGGTTTTCACATTTCACATAAGCTCCTACATAATTATACCACAAACAATTATGTTCTTTAAATCTCAAGATCTACTTCCTCATTCGATAGAAAGGAATGCCCAAAGTGTTGCTCATATCGTTCTCTTGAGTACAGACATTCCATATCGAGCATTTCCTGATTGGATTCACAAGATTCAGCGATTATAATTTGAAAAATTAACAAATAAAAACAAATGTTACTCGCATTTATTGTATAATTTTAATGGAGCATGTACGAGTAGATCCGTGGGGAGATCCGATAAGCGGAGAGGAGTTGAGTCAAGTCGAGTCCCACGTCTGCACACGATTTAGAGACGGACTGACGGAAAGTCATGTTAATTTCATATAAATACTCGTACTGGAAGTTGTTGTTTGCCTGCTACTTTTATGTATTATTGTATGATTATGTGTATCTTTCCAATTGGGAGCAACTTCTGCACATCTGCGAGAGAAGCAAAACAACTCAGGCAACAACTATGCCAGCAGCAGCAACAAACAAGGGGTAAACAAGCGACAAGGTCAAAGGTCTACAAACCGATCGGCAAGGTCACTTTCAAGACAGTAATGGCTAGTGTTCGACTTTTATAGGCGCGTTTCTGACTAACACGCATCACGATTTATGCCTCAAACTTCCAGAGTCAGTCCTGAGATTTGGGCTTGGGTGTATCTATCTGAGTATCTATACAGCCATCCATTCATCTATCCATCCATCTATCTAACTGTCTCTCTTTCTATCTTTGAAGTATGCCCTTGTTGTCCTCACAAACAAAAACTGTCAGCGCCTTACTTTTAGAGATGTTTCACTTTTGTGGCGCCTCTTTGTTGCATCCAAAAACCATCTCCACCTTTGCTTGTGCCTCTGCCTTGTTGAGGCATTAGCCAGCGAGCAACCTGCCTGCCAGAGACCTCAAGTACTCAACTCGGTTACGGGGCTATTATGCAAGAAGAAGTCGCTTTTCAGACGCTTATTTTTTTATTTTTTTTAACCAGCTCTCCATATGAGAAGACGTGTGCACACGCAAGATACAAGATACAATATACAAGTTTTGGTTTGGCTTGCTTTATCGTGGGGTTTTGTCTTTCGAGTACTCGCAACAGATTTGGGTTTCACCTTTTGTGAGACACAAGCGACGAAAGATGCAGCTCTGAGATATGGAGGTTCTATTTCATCACAAGATTCCCCCGAATCTGGGCCAAACCGATAAAATAGATTATGCTTTGGCCAAGTGCAGTCTTTTTTTTTCGGCAAGCAACACTCCCACCACCACTCCCTCTTCAACTCGTTTTTCATCCTGTGAAGACATGCAAGAGCAGTAAAAGGGAAAGTTTTTTATATGCCTCAGATCCGGATCTGGCTTTGGGATCTGGGGGCATTACAAATGCCAGACAGACATGAAATTTATACTCGTATTGTAATGCATGTGTCAACTGCAACTGCAGTCCGTAGTCCCATTTATATGCAGACTGCAGACACTGCAATGCACTTGCAACTCCAACAACTTTTTGGGGTTTAACCAAAAGCGATCACTGATTAATGCAGTGACAACGAAAACGACAACGACACGGTCCCTTTCCTTGCCATGAATCATCCGAAGCAACTCCAATTCCCATTTCAAAAAACAATTGCCATTTACATTCCATTCACAGAAAAAGCGAATAACAATCAGATGCCCACTGTGACACCCATCCAGGGGCCGATCTACTTGAAGAACGGCACGGTGCCGGTGGTGCCGCTGTTCTCCTATCCGAAGCTCAACAATGGCTCGTTCCTACAGATTCCGGTAAGTACACTTGACTCTTGGGTCTCTTGGTAGTTTTTTGGGGCAGGCAGGCACGCGCTCACTTTAATTCCATCTCAGGTTCTGATTCGATTCGATATCGATCGAGTTTACTCATTTGCGGAAATAACTTTGACGATTTTCTGTTTTAACTTTATTTATCTTTTGTTTTTTTTGCGTGCCCGAAGGTCGTGCGCGTTCATTTCATTAAGAGAGGTGTGATGATGTTGATGACGACGACGAATGAAGAGCGAATGTAGAGAGAGAAACTACCTCCTCCATTCGGCCCCGATCTCGGTTTTCAGATATCCCAGGTCAAGCCGAACATATAAAACGATTTTTTTTTATGTTTATGACTTACTTGAGTCATTTTCACACCCCAGGCATAATTTTTGTTATGGTCTCCTCCAATCTTTAATCCCAAGTACCCGATTCGCTTCCCCAATGCTAAAATACTTAAGCCTATACTTCTCTTTAAATATTTAGATTTGGTGGACGGCCCTGTCGGTGGCTTTGGGTCTGGATGTGAGGGGTGATGTGATCAAGGGAGTGCCATGCATTAAGCGCTATCATCAGCTGTTTTGTCCCACAGCCGGAAACAGCTATCCCATGTGAGTATACAACACCATTCCATTGTTCTATTTAGTTATAGTTATTATTCCAATTTCAAAACGGATAAGAATGTTCGTCATGGTGTTTCCCTCGATATACAATTTTTTTCTTAACCACAGAAATTCCCCTGATTGGCCTCAAGGATGTTTGCTTTTGTGTGGTTTTCTTTGGTTTAGTCTATTCTTCAAGAACTGACCTGATTTAAATTTCTTAGCTAGTAGCTGACTACATGACTTAACGGCTCCCATTAGCATGGGCACGACAAAATAATGCGGATTTCATAAGCTCTTGTTATATACATAAGTCTATATCTAGATCTAACGAATCTATTAAATGGCACACTTTCAATCCAAGAATTTCATCATTCTCCAAGATAATCCATCATTCCTTACCAAATTCCTACAGTTATTCTAAAAGGAAGATTATTCCTTATCATGATGCCAAAAAGCCTCTTAATCAGCCCTTAATAATCCCTGCGCAAGCACGAATTTTATATCTGTTTTTGAGGATATCGCTTGGGCTTTCGTTCAATTTCTAGTTCAATCCATCTATTTTAAGCCAATTCCAAAGACAATAATGAACTGCTTACGATCCTGGTTTACTTTTATAATCTATGCATTCCATCCAATCTCTTCAAGAACATAAGATATTAATTTATCTAATCAGATTCCTTCTCTAATACAAACCATTTTCAGCGACAAGATCGAACGTTTCATAGATGACAACAAGGCACTGATGCGTCGAATGTATGGAGACTTTGAGATGAATATGGAAGGACCTGAAGGAGGCGGCAGTAACGCAGATCGCAACCAGCAGGCAAAAGTACGGAAAAGACGATTCATAGACGAGCCGGATATATTTATACCACCCGGAGCCCACGCAGCCAATGCAGGGGAGGCCGTGGAGGCGGGAGACAGCTATTTTGGACAACTACGAAAGAAGCGTCAAGCGGCAGCCAGTGGAAGTCGCAACAGAGGAGCAGGGGGAGGCAGCAGTGGTAGTTCCAGTGGTGCTGGAAATGCTGCTGGAAGCAATGCCAACAGGACACCTGGGGGTACTGGAGGACAGGCGAATTCGGGTACAGGAAGACTCGATGCCTGCGAATCGAAGATCGAAATCGTGACACCCTATTGGGCTTCGAACTCAGCGGGAAAGATCAGGGCAATTGTCAATACACAGCACTTTGAGCAGGCCATCCATCAGGAGGTGTGCAGGTGAGTGAAGCATAAGTACCAGAGATTGAATCCAACTAACTGAGTCTTATAATCTGAAAAGCAATACTCATACACCACGCTGCGAGGGAGAATGCGGATGCGAACAAAAGTACAAATGGCATCGACTGCTCGCCTATGATCCCGACAACGATTGCAAGGGCATCTTCATGGATTGGTTCCTTTTTCCTTCATGCTGTGTCTGTAGATGTAATCCCTAGATTCTTCCGCCCCCTCCCCCCACCGAGTCCTATGTCTGAGCACATTATAGAATGAGAGCGTGTATAATCGTAGGTAGAATGCCACTGAATGTATTTTAGTTGTTGCTAAGTAGATCTTATATGTATGTACATCCACTACTTGGTAGCTCTCTAGTTAAGCATCGATTCTATGTAGTTAAGGTTTTATACGAGCCATATATGTATGTATGTACCTCCCCTTCTCCATCTACTCGTAAACACACATCCGATATAACTCAACCTCCATTTGTTTTTGTACTGCAATCTTAATTTTAATCGTAAAATGAATCAAGTGAATAAAGTCTATAAAAATAATAATAAGAATTTCGGGAATTTTCTTCAGAAAACGAAAATTTTGGAAGGGAAGAAGATAATACTCTATTTATAGGGTATTCATGTAGGTATTGATTCTGAATAATTTATCAAGATAGTGATCGTTCCTACTCGTCGGAGTAAAGCAGTTTCAGTTCATTACCATAGGTACTCTAAAGCAGGGCTAGGCACGTCCCTATCTATTGTGCTTAGGAAAATGCGCTGCTGCTGCGCTGACGCTCACGTACACGTGTATCACCGTGTTTGGCACCAATACAATGTTCCGTTTTGCTTGCTGTATACGCACACAATCGAACTGCAAAAAATGTCCGTGTGTGTGTGCCGACCACTGCTCTAAAGATAAAAAAAAAATTTTTTAATTGTCTTTAATATGTATCGGGAAATCCATTGATTTAAACCATACATTTTCTAGCAATACAAGTAAGGAGGAAATCCCGAAATATTGAATGTTTGAAAAATGAAACTGAATCAGAATGGCTTAATGTGCACGCTCACAACAATCTGTTGATTTTCGTAGACATGTCAACATGCCATTTAATGGCTTCAAAAAACCGTTTTTGTTAATATTCAAAGCAATTAAGTTAACTTCGAAAAGAAAGGATACATAATAAAAAACAAAAAAGTTATTTATGCATCGGCCGGGAATCGAACCCGGGCCGCCCGCGTGGCAGGCGAGCATTCTACCACTGAACCACCGATGCTTATTTGCTCAAGAGCTCAAAATCTTCTATGGAAGCTGCAATCCAGAAGCTCCAGTTAAATCCATGGAAAAGCTTTTAATATCATACAAATGATGGGAGCTCGAACCCCACTCCGGATAGCTTTACTTTTAATTTATTTTTCTCTTTTCCCTTTTTGTGGATTAATTGTTTTTTATTTATTTTTTTTTTTTTGGGTGTTTTCATATTTTTCTGACGAAACGCAATGGGCATGAACAATTCCGGTTTGTTCCATAAAGCGTTTATGCGTTGGCCAATAAATAAACCAAGGAGCAATATGTGCGGGGGGAATGAATGTGTGATATTCCTATTCCTCATAGCCAGGGCCATAAAAACCCTTGCCACACTGCTTCCCGATGCCTGTCACGTATTCAATCACAGCCAATGGCTACACAAAACTGCGCTATATCAAAAATGTCGGTCTATCGTTCCGTGCGTGGTATACAAATGGTACCATTTTACACACACCACTGAGGGGATGTGGGGGATCGGGCCCCCAGTTAAACGGACCATCATCGGACTACGGGCATTATTGACGCGACCGCAATGTCAACAATTGCAGCCATGACGACGACGAGAACAAGGACAAAGAAACAACAGATTTAAGCACTCCGAGAGTTAACCATGAAAGTTGGCCAAGCGAAAGAATTTCGCCAGATTCTATACTAAGAATGCTGGCTGTGTAGGATGATGGTTGGTTGCTGGATTGAGTGTTGGGCGGTATTATGATGATGAAGTCGGCCGCCAGGCAGCAGGACAATAGAAATGCGAGGACACTGAGGAGCTTATGCACACAGACAACCAGAAAAGTATATGCATGTCAGCGAGTGTATGGTGACAATGATATGGATGTTCTATAATACTCTCCAAAGAGGGTACTATATGTTTTTGATAAGAGCTAGGAATGCAAGAAGCCCATTAAGTGTATATGTACATATGATCAGTGTTATAAGTATACACCTCCGTCTTTATATGTATCCATTTACTCTTATAATGCTTCAAAATCTTTTTAGTGATTTCTATCCAATGACACATCCCACATCAGGGATTTCAGCCGTAGGAATCATGGGAAGAAGAGCCTTATGATAGGGTATTCTAAACTTCGTTTTCCTAACCCCTAACCTCTCGTTCTGGTTGCTTTTGTCGTTGGTATTCCTGACCCTGCGCGCGCACTTAAAGTGAAAAGAATTCGGCTTGGGAGACAGCGGACACCAGAGGGAAATCCTAACTACGCTGCGGTTGGGGCCTCCGGTTCGCTTTGCTGTGCTCCTCTGTCACTGTTATTGGAGCTCTTTCTGGGGAGTAGCGCATGTGTAGGTCGTGTACGAAAGTCCTGGCGGCCAGGCAGGCAGGCGTCCTGGCGGCGTCATCTATTCCAAATCTCAGCCGAGTGCCGCAATTTTTGGCTATAAATACCAATGTCGGCACGCAGCTTCGCTTAAACTTACGTTGTTATCCTAGTGTTCAGCACATCGTGTCCAACGGCGAGCGACAAAACTTATTCAGCTTATTCAGGACGTGACGTAGTTAACATCCTGTATGGTATCCTGTACACAGCCCCCCATTGCTACTCAGACTCATTCCTGCTCCTAAAAACTGTGAGTCAGCGGGTTGCAGGTGCAGCTGTACCAGTTGCTGCCACTGCACTGCTTTCTGGGGCTCAATGTTTTGGCGTCTGCTTCTGCTTTCAGTGTCAGTGTCATAATATTAAATTTTAAGCATTGTGTAATCCCACAATCCTCGTTCGATTGAGCAAACATTCGCTTAATCGCAATTATTGCGCAGCCAAAACAAGGAAGAAATAATTCAAAACAAATAAAGCGTACACTTTGGGGAACTATTGCGAAAATTTCTCGAGGAAATAAATAAATAAAAAATTTTACCGGAAACTAAAAGAGACTATTCTTCCAAATAAGTTCCATTATCACTTCTCTTTTCTTCGAGTGTAACTCTATACAATTTTAAGAAATTATCATATTCTAAGTAATGCACATTAAATGTAAAAGAGTTTTTAAAACTTTAAATTGAATGCACTTTATTCAAGTGTTTTTATTTTAGTTACATGTACCCTATATATTTTAAAAAGAAGCCCAAACGCAAAATGAATATAATATCACTTTTCTGGGTTTTCTTCTAATATCACCTCCTCTATCTTACATCTTCTCAAACTATTGCTCAATACCAAGGCGTGCAATCTGTAAGTAGGACTATGGGTCCTACGACTGCCCCCTCATCTGAGAAGCTATCACACTTTCCCCCTCTTTTGTTGTAGCCACACCCAGACGACCGCAACCACAAGAACGCCAACCTCTCCACCAACAAAAGACAGCAATAATGAGAGCAGCAAAGAGCTCAAAAACGGGAACGGAGAGGGGCCTCAACATGGGAATGGGAATAAGCCTGAATCTGAGGCAGGGACACAGGTGGCTCGTATGGCTGCTGCTCCTGCTTTTGGCCATTCCCCCGCAGATGGTCGACGGCCGTTACCTGCCCACAAGGTCGCACGGCGACGATTTGGACAAGTTGCGTGAGCTGATGCTGCAGGTGAGCCATGATGTCATGTCATACCATTCGTAGCGGTAGCTAAAGTTGCTGCACTGAAGCTAAAGCTAAAGACGTGGGAATGCACTGAAAAATACTATTTACTAATTTTTAATGTACGATTTTGTGTTTATGGAAATCGACAAAATATTATGGCAAAAAGGCTATTTAACATCCCTTCATAAACAAATTTTTCTTATAAAGCAAGTTCTCAAGCAAATTTCTTTATATTACATTTTATTTCTTTACATTAAAAATGCAAAGCTTTTAAAAGCGAAGGGAATTTAGAAATTCAACTTACAGTTAAATTATATTTTTTATGGCTGTGAATTTCAAAGAATGAAATTTCAATATATTTGTCCGATTTTTCTGTGTGTATGCCTGTGTGACCGTGCATTGGGTTTTGTGTGCGTGCCCCCTGAAGTTCAGTTTTGTGCATTGGCAGTTTTGGCATCGGTGGTGCCGCTGTGCTGTGCTGTTGTCAATATAATTAACTAAATGAAAATGAAAAGAGTGCCCATCGACACGGACAGACAGATGGAGACAAAGATCCGAAGCAACACAAAGCGGGTTAAAGCGTGGTATTAAGTTGCAATTATGTCGCCAATTATTGAGGTTTTATTTTCGACTTGTTTTTGTTTTCGTTTTTAAGAGGTTGGTTTGGTGCTTCTTTTGTTTTTTTTTTGGTTCCGAGTGGAATTGAATGGAATGGATGGGTTGCGTCATCGGATGGTATATCATCGAGTATAAGGTTTCGGGGGTCCCTCCCTGTTGATTCCTGCTTATCGGAGACCAATTTCTGCCACTACTGCTTCTTCTCCTGCTGCTGCTGTGGTTTCTGTGCTGTGCGTCTGCAAACCATTTCAGACATATTTTTACATATTTCGCAAGCCTTAAAGAGGGGTCTGGCTGGTCTGGTCTTCACATGGAGAGGAAGCCTGCTCGGCTACAATCCCCAACAATATTTCGGCTTGGCCAACACTTTGGCCTCTTCTCATCTTTTGCACAATATTTTTGGAGACGCAGCGTCACTGCCGCTGCTGCTGCCGGACTGCCAGTGCCTCTGCTGCTATTTAGTTTTTTTTTACTCATTCAGTGTTTTTTTTTCTGCGCAGTTTCCTGTTCTTTTTCGCAACCAAAACACAAAAATGCGACTTAAATGGTAGACGGGGAGAGCCGAGTGCAGAGGAGTCCCACTTAAATAAATGTGGATGTGCAGCTGCAGCCTGCAACCTGCCACGAAACACTGCAACTGTTTGCTGCACGCTGGAGCAGACAATCTGTAGCACTCAGACCCACGTTTCGGCAGCCGACTCTTTTTCTGAGTCATGGCCCTGCGAATCGATAAATCGCTGACGTGCGACGCAGACAAAGACCAAGACCAGAGCAGACCACGACCATACTTGGCCGAAAGAAGCAGCAAATATCAACAAAAAAGACAACAAAACTGTAGCAAAAAAAATAGCTAAAAAATAAAAGGGAAATCAAATGTCAAATAGCAAATAATGACGATGACGTGGTCTGGTCTGCTAGCTGGCGTCTGCCAATGATGAAGGTTGACTTCTCTACGTCACATCGGAGACAAGACAGACAAATGGGGGGAAAACCAACGGAGGAAAATGGAAAAACACTTGACACACAATAATGCATTGAACCTGAGAGACAAGAGCAGAGAGCAAGAGTACTATAGACTAACATCGTGAGACAACAAACAAAGTTTAGCCTTTGGCTTATTGCCTGTGACAGCAAGGATGTCAACATGACAGAGCATGAGATGGTATTTCCAAACATTTAATTGCCGAATTTATTCCACTCTTGTCACACAAATACCCCTGTCTATAGTTCTCATCACGCACATTTCCCCGGCCTCAAAACCCATCTAAAGTTATTACCGACAGATACTTCTCTACCCTCTAAGTAGCCGAGAGATTCCCGTCTAGCCCATGGACGAACCCAAAAGATAACCCAAGCCAAATGCAGCTGTTTATTTGCTAACCATCTTCAATCTCCAGTTCCAATACCATCTTTGGCCAAAACCAGAGAGGGAAACAGATTGAATGTACAGACAGATATAGAGGCTGTGAATGAAGGGAGAGACGCAACACAACACAACACAAACCGAAAGGAAATCACATAACTTTTCACTTAACGACAACTCTCAAATTAAACTGTCCAAAAAGTGCCAGACGAAGAGGAGAGTCTTTAATAAAGACAGAGAGAGAGGCAGAGGGGGAAACACCCAGCTGCCACCACCCACACAACCACCAACCCTAAGCATCGCTGAACCCCTCACTCAAAGATATGGCCCCGCATGTTCCCTGTTCCCTGTAGCAGAGTCATCATTGCTTCCTTATGTGTCGCCGCTCGACCATTACTATTAGCGTTTAAAAGGAGTTAAAAAGGATGGAAACCTTTGAAAATGGGGAAAAAAAAGTAAAATAAAACCATCTACTGGTATTTCTTATTTTCGGCGTTTTTGAAACTAGCAATAATTTAATTGCATGGCGCGAAATTGTTTTAGGTTTTTCACTTCATGGTGTTTGTTCACACATCATCAACGGCAGCATCGCATCATTCGGCATTCGCAAAAGATACAAACAGATACGCCAAGAGATGATCTTCTCCAGAGCGATGCGACGAGCGGTAGCCAGACAAAAGAGGCTGTCCGCGGCTGGCGGATGGCTGATAATTACACGACAATACCCCCCATTAACACATATTTTTCAGAGCTCATCATCAGAGAAGAGACCGACCCCGCTTCCCGTTCGTTACAGATAAAGTTCATTCAATTTAATGATGCGCCAAAAAATTAAAAATTTAAAACAAAAAGACTGAAGATGAATGAAACAATAAATGCAATACGAAGTTGAAATACTCTTGAAGTTCGCGTAGCACCTGTTTTCAAGGAGTACAATTTTCCAATATCGAAAAATCAAAAAATTTTGAGGGATTTGATACGTATTTATTTCGTGGATTTAAATGTACAAAGTCAAACAAGATTTTATTTTGCTTCCTTTATATAGTAACTTAACGATAAAATGATCCAGTTACATGAGCGTTGATTGGGATTATATTTAGCATTTCCTATAATAAAAGTGACTACTACATATGTATATGGGGTCTTCAAGTGTATACACATATAAAACTAAAGATAAACTCAAAAATAAGCGAACACAAAAATCTGTGACGAACTTCCCACGTTAGATAAAAACGATTTCAACAGATTTTTGAAATAACTGCCATAAGACACCATAAAAGACCCCCTGTCTTGAGGGGCGATCCGTGTTAACAACAGAAACTATACGATAATTATAACAACCATAACAACACTCCAAGTTTAACTCTTTCCATCTCTTTGTATCTCGCCAAACTCTTTGCAGATCTTGGAGTTGAGCAATGAGGACCCACAGAAGCAGCAGCAGACGATGCCCCAACAGCACCCACTTTTGCGTCCGCACAATGAGGCCAGCAGCGGCAGCAACAGTGGCACTGTTAGTGGCAGCAACACCAACACTATCAATCCGCGCGTATCCAACGGCAACTCGAATGCCGCCTGGCTCCAAAAACTCAGCGCCATGGGTGCCCTGGATGAGCTGGGCGGGGATGCTCCCCGTATGGGACAAAACTATGGACGCTACTAAAGGGAATTCAGCAATCACCTGACGACTACACGACACCACGACGACAATGGAATGGGTCTACATGGGGGGGAAATGGTTTTGTGAATGAATCAGTTTTTTGAATGGCAGAATAATGGGTGAAGGGGAGTCCTTAGCAGAGAGCACACAGTATGGAAGACGATATGTGGGAGAGCACACCAAACAGACAAGTGGATGAGATGAGGGCGGAGCTTGAGAGGATATGGTCATGGGATTACAATCCCATGGCAACCCAAAAGGAAATGTGTGAAAATCTGTGAAAATATATGAAAGAGTCAACTAAATGGAGTGAGGGAAGCCATTTACACACCCTTTATCACTACTTGCTAATACTTTCAAGTACTTTTAAACCCTTATGAACCATTTGAATGCTTTTGGGACATTTTAAACCATTTTATGCTAGTTTCCACTTTTATTAAGACTTTTTTAATTGCCATTTCCCTTTTACTTTTTAAAACGTTTTTCACTATTCAAAACAACTTTGAAGATCTGTTAAGAGATTTAAATAGCTTCTAATGATTTTGAAACGGTTCTCGCAACTGAAACTCTCCCGAAGTATTAAAAAGAAGGTTCTAAGGGCATACCCAACTCACCCAAAAGCAATGCTCTCTGAAAAACTTTGGTTCATTCGTTCACAACACCTTTTTTGCCCTAAAGCCCAAAAGGTACACCCTCCAAAACGAACAACTCTCAAAGGTTTTAATTGCAAAAAGCAACAACTGATAAACACTGGTAAATACCCAAACATGCAATAAAAAAAAAAACTTAAAAAAAAGATAAAAAGACAAATTCAGTTCCTATGATAGAACAATAATTTAAAAGTTTTAGGGTAATCCCAAGGCGACTAAAATGTACCTATATGCAGCATGCACCTTTATGTATGTAGAACAACCAAACAACCCCTTAATCCCCTCAAAACAAGTATTTACGAGAATGTATTCCCCTTTACGGTCTAGGTTAAGAGCTGATTTTTGAGTTTTTTTTTGCACACGCGGCCCCAAAAAGTTACAACTACAAAAAAACAAAATGAAGAAGCAAAAGTCAATTGTAAATATTTTACTGGAGTTTTAATGGGCCCCCAAGGCTAAGGCTGGTCGTGGGGCATAAATGAAGATATATTTATAAATTATGGTACTCCCAACTAACCTCCACTAAACCGGAGCTCTGGGCCGCGTGACCTCCACACGAAGATGGGCCCCCAAAACTTTAATGGGATTTCATATAAAAGAGATTTATATACATACTTACATACATATACAATATATTGTAAAAGAGCGCAGGGCCCAGTTATATGCGATTATATTATTATTATTACATATTGTTGTATCTAAAATAAATGTACATTTAATTGTTGTTAACTCAAGTTCGTGGCTTTTACTCATGATTCATCAGCAGAAGCAAAAATAAAGAAATCATTTTAAATGCAGTCTTAACTAGATCTCTGATCAAAGATTCATCTATTGGATACATCCAAAGAGTCTTATGCAAGCCATTTTTCACATCTCTCTCTCTTAGCTTGAAGATCTTTTGGGTAAAGATCCCCATCTATCTCAATTTACTTTCACGTACTTCAAGTGCAACTCTTGACAAATTAAACATTGAAAAGTGGCACCCACCAGAAACAAAGAGAGAGAAACACATCCCCATTCCCAAATTCCATTCCAATAACCGAACCGAACCCCCATTCCCTGTCAATGCGAACCCATTAAGTACTGGCCACCGAGTACCGTTCCGTTTGTGTCTCTGTATCTTTCATTTTGTAAACGAAATCATAATTGTTTTGCCTCTTTATGTAAATATAATATCATTTAAATGGTGCTCACAGTCGGTATTTGGTTTTGTTTTTACTACTCTGTGTTACATAAAGTCCACACAGAAGAAGTATACAATATAATAATTAGTATTTGCACTCTGCAAAAGGTGCAGATGGCTCTAGAGCTGGAATCGGAGCTGAAGTGGTGGATTGTGTCGTGGACCATGGAGAAAGCAGAGAGATGAATTTTGCCTCGTCGCTTGATGATTATATGCCTCAGAATCGTTGTGGCATGGCAATGGCACCAGCAGATTCATTAAAAATGGTGGCAAAAAGTTGCTCATGCAACCATTCCATATCTAAATTTCTTTGCAATTTAAGGGAATATTTTTCCAAATTATTTTTGCTTAATTGTATTTCAATGCAGCCAAATAATACTGGATGTACATTTGCTATATTTTCAAAGGAAGTATGTACTAACTTTTACTCTATTTCCGTTTTTCTTTCAAATGCATGCTTCGATTTCCTGCATTCACAAGTAGGTCAAAGGTTGTCACAAGAATCCATATCCATCCCCAAATCCATTAGATATTTGCATATGCCTAACGTTTTCCCTGAGGATCCACTGAAACTGCACCTGAAACTAAAACTGAACCTGCACCTGTTCCACGTTGGTGAATTTAGCATAATTTACCCAGCCACACCACACACACCACATTGATAATGATGATGATGAGGAGGTTGATTTTGAATGTGAAAGATGAGCGTTGAAAATTAAGGAAATGCAATCTGTTGCAGGAGGCACCCACCGAAGATGAACAACAAAATCAACAAAAGTTGCCATTTAGCCAACGGCATTATAAATGATGCCATCTAGGAAAAGTGACAGTCTCTTGGGCCGACAGTTGCACTATTATTGGTGGTGGTGTGGCTGTGGCTCCTCCGTTTGGCGCCGCTGGCCAAACACTGATTATGCCATTTCATCAAATTCCGGCAGCAGATTGCTGCAGATTCCACAACAGATTTGCTCAAGGAGTGGCGCCCGCCAATCTCAGAGGATCGGGAATCAGAGACGAATGCAAAATGCGGACTCTGATTGCCATTTACAGATTATGCGCATAAATCTTTTCCCAATCCATAGCAAGGAAAGGCACAGGGAGTTATGTTGTTAGGGGCATGAACCTAAGGAAAACATTGCAAAATATTTTGCTAATCATAATTTGTTGTCTTTCCGCAGAAATTGTCATGCCCGGACGCCAAAAGGGGTGTAAATTATGGCCACAAGAAAAAACATGAGAAAAAAACAAATTAAAGAAATTCAAATTCAAAATACATTAAATGAAATGTTTGTAGAGTTGCACGAAGCACTCGGGAGTTCGGGAGCCAAGGAGATGGAAGGTTGCAGATGAGGCAAATGCCCCAACAAACCCAACAAGAGCGTGAAGCTCATTATGATGTTTCGTGGCCAAAACGTGGACACCAATTACAAAAGCAACTGAAGAGAATGATGGTGCTTAATAGTCCCGACAAATGGCATACCCTGTTAGTCATTGTAAACCATTTAGGACATCTTTAATCAGACGAAATTAAATTTATTACATTAAATAAAAAACGATACGATTCCGTGTAATTTGGTATATTGGTGGGTAAGATATCAAATCCATAAATGTGCTGCAAATCTTTACAATTATAAATGCCACTGGGTTTTTCTCGACTCCAGAGACTCTCCGAAATCCAGGGAAGCTCATAAAGTGGTTGTGATAATGAATATCAAGAAGAATATTTCCAGAAATTATCATATATGATACGTTTCTAATTAATAGGGTCGGAATTGCTTCGTCCCATCTGTTACATAGATTTTCAAAAAACCAATATACCCTCCAAGCTTCACAAATTCCAGGTTAACAGTAACAATAATAATAATAACAAACAGCACCCCATAACACAGCAAGAAGTTGAGTGAAAAAAAACAAAAGACCGAAAGAGCATGAAGAAATGAAATAAAACCAACACCAGACTCAAGTAACAATCCCCCAGACCCCAATCTCCAGACCCCCATCTCTATCGCAGTCCCAGTCCAGAGCACGGGCACCCCCTTTTCCTCCTTCTACTCGAAAAACTTCAAATGAGAGTGAATCCACATCCATTGAAATTGAAAGTGAATCGTGCTACACGATCCGACACGATACGATACGATCCGATTCAACCGTTCGTCCAGCGAGCGCTAGTTACGAAGCAGCAAGAAAACATTACGATTGGATCCTAAAAATGACCAAAAATAACTATGGATGTATGTAATCTCTATATATGTACATATAATAATTTAACAAGAAAAACAAAAGAATTGGGGAGGAAACAGCAGGAAAGACTGCTGTTATTTTGGGAGCAATTCGATGGGGAAATATTTTAGGGGACTCTAATCGGTAAATGTTGTTGAGAAAAACAATTCCCATGAAAAATATTTAAAATTTCTGTCTAGAAAATACTTATTTCTATGTAGTTTTTAGTGGTAGTTTAAGAAAAAAAGCAAAGAATTGCCAAATAGGATGCACAACACTAACAACCAACCCTATGACAACTTGAAAAATTATGAACCTCCTCTACAAAGAACCTAGGATATTCGCCTTGAACTGGATAGCACCCTCTGTCGTGGATTCAAAAGTCCCAAAAAACGCAAATAAGGAGAAGGATGGAGAAAAAGGTAATTGAAAAAAGGAAAAAACCAAAAACCTCGCTGCTGCTGCTGCAGTCGCAGTCGCAGCTAGGAGGGACAGAGGCAGAGCAATCAAAGATGACTCTCCAACTGTGGTACTGCCTGGCTGGTGATGCGGCTTTCTTCATGGTTAAGCGCTGTGCTCTTTGCTTTGCCAACTGCTCAGCCAGCAGAGGAAGATACAGCAAAGGCAGCAACAGAGACAGCGACATAAAAGCAGCAAAAGCTACGTCGTCGTCGTCGTCGTGGTCTTGGTCGTTGCTGCCGCTGCCATCGTTTTTATTTTTACTTAATTTTTATTTCACGCGCTGCGCCGCTATAAAAGAAACTGCAACAAACGTTGTGGCATGCAGTACGAGGTTCCGCGTCAAACAAACTCCAACTCCGACTAAAAGCTCCACCATCCAAAGATCCATCCTCAAAGATCAGTGACAAAATCCGCAACGAAACGAAACGAACCGAGAAACAATATATCAGAAAGCTCCCTGTAAAATGCAGTCCAGTTGTGTGGTACGTTTACATGATAATCATGTAATCAGAAGCGTTTCTGATCCGTCCTCTGAGCTAAAGTCCTCATTCGACGTAAATCTGCGAGTCTTCCAACTTAGATCCCCGTCTGATCCATCATCCTATCCTATCCTTCCTCATCCAAATCCATTCAGTGTTATAATTTTGTTTCTGTTCTGCAGTTAGTGATCGTCTTGGGCTTTGCCGCCTTGGTGGCGGCTCGTCCAGAGCCCCCACGTGACTCGTACAGTGTCCCACCGTCGAGCAGCTACCAGCCGAGTGGACCAAGCGGGGGATATGGAGCCCCTGCGCCACAATATGGACCTCCACAGCAGCCACCAGTGGTGCATAAGCATGTGTACGTCCATGTCCCACCACCAGAGCCAGAGTACCAGGCACCCAGGTAAGAGATTATATAGAAAATATAACCAAAATATCTTGTCAAGGTTCATTTGAAGGAGAAAAAAATCTCCTTTCAGGAGCAGTGACATCGGTGTATTTGAATCCCTAAGATTGTTTGTAAATTGCATCAGAATTATTCATTATTCATTGCTTGACATCAAGAGATCTTAAATGTTCTTCTAGAAGGCAAATATTAAGAAAATTAGTAAACTTTCGAAAGTCAATAATATTCATACAATATTATCAAAAATATCTTTTGCAATAAGAAGAAAGTCTCCTCTCTCAAGATAACACATCAACCAGACGGTTCTTTTTAAGTAGGTCTACGAATCATTGTTCCAAGAGAGATGTGTGTTAATATTTCGATTACAAATATTACAACAAATAATATAAACAGCACACACACTCCCACCCCTTCTATTTTTCGTTTCTCTATGCAAACCCTTCATTACATCTTGCGTGATGTGGAGTGAACGATCCAAACAATCTCTTGTTATTTGTGTTGTTCCACTTATCCACTGCCTGAAGGAGATTCACATTGTTATGGGCATATAATCCACGCCACTTATGCAGATTCTCTCACAATTCATCGCCCAGAGTCCCCGCCGCTCCCAACGATTATAATTGTGTTACAACAAGACAAATGTTGGAAGACTGGGAGCATCTAATCATCTAAACCAGCTAGATGTTAACATATTTCCAACATATTATGAGATGCTTGGTTTTTTAGACGAGAGAGAAAAGTACCTATTTTCAAGGACACTTTTTTAATATATATAAAAAAGAGAGTCGAAAGGAAAGCTACAAATTTTTCTTCAATCTATTCTCTAATTTTCTCTTGCCCTCTCTCTGGTTTTCTCCAATTCAATTTTTGTGTCGCCTTTTGAGTTGAAAGCAATGTTAATTACCCAAAGGGGGAATGATATCACGGCGCAGACCGCCAAACCGTGACTAAGATTGTTACCTAAGCGGAGCGTCTCTCTCTATCTCTCGTGGTATCTGTGGGTTTTCCAAGTTAATTATCAGACAAGTCCCTCAATTACCATAGTACCATAGGGAGTACCAGAGCACAGAAGACAGGCCTTATGTAAGCCCTAATTGTGACAGTCGTCATTATTAAAATCTGATTACAAACAAAAAAACAAACAGCTGCACCTTTTTCACCATTTATGGGCAAGACATTTGCATACTCGTCACTCATGCTCCTTTCTCTTTCTTTGTTGCAGGAAACCTCTGTACGTGCCACCACCACAAAAGCACTACAAGATTGTGTTTATCAAGGCACCATCCGCGCCCGCACCCACTGCACCCATCATTCCACAGTACCCGCAGAACGAGGAGAAGACTCTGGTCTACGTGCTGGTGAAGAAGCCAGAGGATCAGCCTGAGATCATCATCCCGACGCCGGCGCCCACACAGCCCAGCAAGCCGGAGGTGTACTTTATCCGCTACAAGACCCAGAAGGAGGAGACCGGACCCTATCCCAACAGTGTGGCGCCTCCAGCACCAGAGTATGGTGCCCCGGCTGGACCACCAGCCCCATCCGCTCCCAGTAGCTCCTATGGCGCACCATCGCACTAAGTGGAACATCAACACTCCCGTGAACATCCCGCACAACCGCAACCGAATCTCAACCCCAGCTCATGGCAATCCCTTACACCATATCTATAATATTTTTGCTATGGAAATCTCGAAGAACTCTCGACCATCGTCTATCCTCATCCCATTTATGGTTGTTTCATGTGTAATTTTTTACCTCTGAGGTTGTTTCTACAAACCTATGTATGAGAACATTTCCCATCTAGGCTGTTTGTTTCAAATTGTTTGTTTAGTCTTAAGTGTTCTAGATCTTTAAGAAAAAAGAAAGATGCGTTATACACACACACACACTCACATTCGACATACACACGATCACCACTGCGATAGCAATAGCGATCAGTTACTGACACCGATACTTGATTCATCCCATATGCATTTTCCCTAGGCAAATTACACCAACAAACGAGAGAATTTTCCAAACATTGCTGTTGCTGTTGTTTTGCACACAATATTATTGAGTAATGAGAATGCAAAAGACAGAAATTAAAAAAAAATTACAACAAAAAAATGAAAGAAACGATATATAATGATACTCAAGTACGATATGTATGTTTATCTTAGAAAACGATAACATCAATGGCTAAATAAACGTTTAACGAATTATCAGTACATATACAAATATTTTTTTCTATATTTATAATAGAAGTATTTACAGGGAACTTCACAAAGAGTATATCTCAAGAATTGGTATTTCTAATATCCAAAATTAAATTTTGTTCACTTAAAAACAAATTTTAAACTGAAAATATGGAAATATCTACTTCTTCCATTGTTCATTCATATCATCATTTCATTCCGGCTTTTGGCCGGAATATTTCATTCCGGCTTTTGGCCGAAATATTTTTTATCTAATAAACCCGACAAACCGCCATGTTCGTGACTATGTTAGATATGTATGTACATATGTTCATGCAAATAAAGTAAATGTTCTCCACAAAAGTATTATTTTTCTATTAAAACTTCACAATATGTTTCCCTTAGAAAATTTTGTATTGTGTTTAGATATTTCCTATATTTTTTGATTTTAATTTTCACGCATTTCCAGTCATTACTCTCCCTATTAATTTCCATTAAAACTTCCATTTCAAATTGCAACGTTTCTAGCGTTGCCACCCTAATAGTTACAGCCCAAAGCCAAGCCGACAGATGGAGCTTTTAGCCAAACTTAAAAACTGTAACAGCAGCAGTGCAGTACATCCCAAACTTCTTATCTCCTTTCACTTGTACTTAAGCTGCAGCTTTGCTTTGTTTTATTTTGTTTGCTTTGCTTTTGCTGCTGATGTAATTTTTGTTGCTTTTTGGCTTTTGGGCTTACATAAAATTTGATTTGTCTTATGCGGAAAAGCGCTTTTCGCTTAGCTCCCTGAATTTTTATGATAACACTACTCGACAAAACCGAACTTTTTTTTTCCTCAAGGATCCAAACCGACTTTTTCTGATAGATATGGGGCTTTAAAATTTTTTAAAGAATTATGGTTTTTTTTCTATGGCAGAACTTTTTTTTGAAGAATTTTTGAAATCTGGTATTTTTTTTTAAGCTTTTTTCAGAGGTAGCGCTTGTTTTTTTCACATAACTCTAGTATATTTCATCTGGTTGTTAAGAACTTTGCTATTTTAAAAAGGTAATTAAAACAGCTAGAAGTTAAGCTCAAATACTTTGTGATTTCAGCTTACCGTCTGGGAAATATAAAGCATTGAAATGCAAAAATGATGATTTTTGTGCGGTATTTTTTACGAATATTTGACTTTAAAAACTCAGGAAAAGTCGAAAAAAAATTATATCTTGTGTCCTCTATTTTTTTGTGTAGAGGTGCATTTGGCGTCGTTTAAGGTATCGCTTATTAAAATCTATGGAGAGACTTTGGAGCTAAAATTCGTTAACCAAACCTAAAATATGAAAAAAAAATGAACAAAAAATACCTTTTGGAGCCCAACTGCTCATTGGGAACAAAGGAACGCGATCAGGTACCAAATGTACAACCCTTGTTCGTTTGCTTTGTTCCCAATTGGCTGTTTTAATTACCTTTTCAAAATAGCAAAGTTCTTTACAACCAGACCTTACGTCTGAAGTCTGATACTAAAGTTATGTGAAAAAAACTATCGCTACCTCTGAAAAAAGCTTTAAAAAAAAATACCAGTTTTCAAAAATTTTTCAAAAAAAAGTTCTGCCATAGAAAAAAAAAAATATCATTAAACCATTTCTAAGCCCCAAATCTTTAATAAAAAGTTGGTTTTGTTCCTTGAGGAAAAATCGTGTTGACCAGTGTAATTAGTTGAGCAGCATTTAAGTGTCGAAAGTAAAGGTATAGACTGTAATGGATTTTTGGAAACTAAGGTTTTTAACATTATTGGAAATTGTTTCCTAATCTTTAAGGTGCTTATTGGAAATTTTTGTTTGTTGCTTATAATTATATAAAATATAAGATTTGCTTCTGCTTTCGGGATGGATGTTTTTTAAGAAATTTCTTCTCAAATCTATTAGATATTCATTATTTCCCTTTTTTTCAATAGGAGGTAGGCTTTCATTTTTGTTAAAAAGGTTCGGTGAAATAGGTATCGTAAATTCTAAAGGGAAAAAATCCTCTTTGGGTAGCATTAGCTCTTATCGTTTTTAGATTCTGTCCATTATAATTGAGCCGTTCGAAAGGACATCTCCAACGGAACAGAAATAAAGGTAAGCCCTGGACACACTCAATCTCCACTCCACTCGATCCATCCACCCATATGCATGCATCCACATCCTTTTAAATACAATCAAACAAAAATACTAACATCCAGAAAACACACACTCTCGGAGAGTCTCCTTCACGGGCCTCCCAAAACGTAAGCGGACTTAAAAACACATCGTTTGCATATGTGCCCACCTCTTCATACCCCTCGTACAACACTCATCCATGCCAGCAACCCCACTCCATCCTCCCCGCTGTCATGCTGCCATGCAACATCACCAAGCGGCACTTAAGTGACGCTCCAGCAGCCATCATCAGCATCAGCAACAACTATCATTGTGAGAGAGTGCTTTCTTATTCTTTTTCCTTTTTTTTGTTCTGTTACGCTTCTTGTGAATGTCTACAATATAAACATCATTTGCGATGTTCCTTTTGTTTAAGCCCCGCTGATTTTGTTTACCTGAGCCTTAATGCTTGAAGCATTAAAAGAAGACAGAGGAAAGCAGGGCTTGAAAGAGCGGTTCTCAAAGCAAAGAGTGAGAGCATGAATATCTAAAGAAAGTAATTTCAGAGTAAAGAGAGTTTGAAAACCATGAAATAATGAGCTAAAGAGCGTCAAAATCAACGAAAAACCTGAAAAATCAGAGAAATAAAGTGGAAGGAGCAAGCTTGAAACAAGATATATTTATAGAGAGTATGACGTTACTCGTAGCTATTCGAGGAACACCACATGCTTTATCCACTTTTTTTTTTAATCATAAAAAGCCAATAACTAATCCCAACAAAATTACCTTACATGGGACAAAAGACAGCAGCACTTCTACTTGTTTTCTTCATTCCGATCGGTTTCTTTACCCTTTAGTAGATTAATGATTCACTATAAACATAAGATCTTATAAGTATGGTTCAGTCGTTAAATGGTCAGCGTTCCAGAGGGCGCACTCCGTAAATACATCTTGCATTGCCCTACCTTATATTGAAAGACCTTTCCAAAGCTCACCCTTGGGCTTAGGCATTGCCAGCAAACAACACTTTGCTAACGCATACTCTCTCCTCTTCTTCTTCTTTATCGAACGCCTGCGTAGTGGCTTTCAAGTCAAAAAGAGAGAGAGCGCCCTAAAACGTGGAGCTCTTCCACCAAAACTTTATCCATCGCGTCTAACGGCAGTTGCCATTGTAATGCCAACGGAAACGCCACGCGACTGGCGTTCGCGTCGCGTGAATGAGTGGATGAACCAACAACAACAAATCGAAGCAAAAGTCGGAAAAGAAGTTTGGATGTGTTGGATGTGTGTGTAGTACAGTGTAAATCATGTTTAAGCAAACCCCAATATCGCAAAAGCCAAAGATGAAATCAACAGCAACAAGAAATTGCTAGTCATAAAAAGGGTTTGTGTTTGTTATACCGTTAGCGTGTGGGCCCGTTGTTTCTGTGTGTGTGTGTGTGTGTGTTGTTCCAAAGAGAGACTTCCACTCCCACTCGCTGACTGACGGCTAACCTCCCCGCCATTGTGCGTCGTCGGTCTCGTCGTACAATTAGAAGGCATTGCCAATCGATTTGTGTGAAAAGCCCAAAGCTAAAACTCAAAAGGTGGACAGCTTCAAAACAAAACGAAGTTAAGCCAAAAAAGCGGCGAAAGAGGAAGGGGAAAATGGTAGGAGGAAGGAGCAGGAGCAAACAAAAAAATCATTCGTAGAGGTTGTGGCAGGTGTAGTCTGAAAAATGAAGTTAAACCCCACCCCAAGTTGTTGCCTTGTCATTCGTGACGGAAGGAATCATGAAGGAAGGCAATACTACTCGTAGAAGAGCCAGAGAGTGGTAACGGAACAGATGAAGGAGGGCAAAAGGACATAGGCCAGAGAAGGGAGTGGGGAAGAAGGACTAGCTACAATGTCTATGGGGTAGGGACAATATTAATGAAAGACGTTGCAAAAATGTCACGTTCCCCACTCAAATTGAAATAATAATGAAGGCATTGAAGAAATGTCACGGGCCCAGCAGAAGAACTGACGGAAAGAGCAGGAGAAGATGACAGAAAGTCCAAAGGAATTTACATGGGAAACTTCAGAAAATAAAGCTCAAACATACTGAAGTATGGAAAAATTTCTACATCTGAAATTTAGATTATAAATGTAACATTTGGATTCTACATCTTCTCGGACAGCGGGCGCTCGCGTACATAACAAGGCAGAGTGTACGAGCGAGAAAGAGAATGGGTAGCGGGTCTCTTGCTGGAGGAGGTGGGGGAAGCATATATAGTCTCTGAGATCTAGGCGCTCATCAGGACGGACAGACGGACAGACAGACAGACAGAATATATATACTTTATGGGTCGGAAACGTTTCGTTCTCTGCGTTACACTTTTACCACAAATACAATATACCCCTTAGCTCTTTTGGAGTACGGATATAATTAAAACTTTCCCAAAAGTAAATTAAAGAGAGATACAAATGTAAAAGATTTAAATGGAAATCGTATTACTCAATATACTCAAAAGATTTTATGGCGTAGAACCCAATTTATCATCTATTATTATATCCAATAAAATCTCGTTAAATGATAAATTAGAACTAGAAACGTGAATTTAGATTTTTATAATCTTACGAATAGATAGTACAGATGTGGCTGAATATAATAGATCTTAAGCAGGAAGATGTATGGGATTCTTGTGTAAAATTTATAGAGTTGAAAAGTGCTGCCTTCTGCCTTTTACATATTTTTATAGAATGAAATTTCTCTCTTAAGCACCGGCTATAAAAATACCATTTGAAAAGAGAGACAACCCCAATCCCCAATCAAAAAAGTCCCCAAATAAATTAATTTACAAGAAAGTTTGTACAAATAAAGCTGAAACGCAACATTATAATGACATAAAATATGACAAAAGATAACAGTCCACAGGACCCCTGTGGTCCTTCCAAAAGCGGAGGAGGACCATTGAAGATGTCCAGGCGTATAATTTGCCTAATAAAAACACATAAAACCCTAAACAAATTCAACATAAATCTGGAGTTTATGCACAAGATGCTACAAGTGAATAAAACACAAGCTTAGAGCACAACTAAGTGACAGTGACAGTGGCTGTGCCAATGATAGAGGAAAGTGATGATAGTACAGTGAAGCATATGCCCGATAAACAGATGGCTCATAACCATAAAGAGAAAGTGATATGGCCATTACCATAGACGGGAGGAAGACCCTTCTTTGGGGGTTCTTTGGTTCAAATAACTTATGCCCATTGGCCCGAGCCGAAATCGGAATTTATGACGGGGCACAAAACTCTGGATGCTAGCAACTATTTAAAAAGCCATAAAATCTTTTGGCAAAGATATAAAGCAAACAATATGTGTGTGTGTGTGTGTGTGTGTGTGTGTGTGGCTTGAGGATACGTAGAGATTGAGGTTGCATTCCGAGATCCCTGTCGTAAAAACGGAAGCTCGGCGAATGCTGCGTACAATCATTTGGGATTCTTATTAACTCCCAATTTTCTTCCGCTCCAAATCCAAAAGGAAACCAAAGTGCTTCCATCCATAAACTTCCACAACTGTGGTATCCACAAACCAAGGACGAACAGGAGGAGGAGTAGCAGCAGCAGCAGTACCAGCCATGGCCTCCAGCATCTCCCGGAACGGCGGCTTCTGCGGTGCACTGCAACGTGCCCCACCGCCCATGCCACCAGGTCTAGCGCGACGACTCAGTAGCCGCGAATGCTACGGCGTTGGCAAAGTGAAGGTTATGCTGCGTGTATCCGACAGAGCGCCGGAAAAGGACTCCAACGGGGAGCCCGAATTCATGGCTTTAGACAAAAAGAAGCGTCAAGTGACGCTCACCGATCCCCGGAACGTGTGTCCGCCCCCGCAGGCAGCTCAGGAGCGAGGACCCATGGTCGCTGCACCCAAAATGTTTGCATTCGATAATCTCTTCACCGCAGAGGATAAACAGGTGATTGGGGGAATGGCAGTTTGGAAAGATATTTGATGGGAAAGGTATTTTAGAACTTTTGGGAATGTATCGAGAAACTTTTTAGGCGGGACAGAATAGTTCAGTAGTTGGTTTAAGTTCTTAAAATATCACTTAAAGATTGGACTTCAGAAAATATTTGCACTACGGAGGATATCCAGATGAAATTTAAGTGTACGGAGATATCTTATATATAACTTTTTAGGGAAAAAATATAGTAATTTTTTAAACAATAGAATTGTGGATAGGTTAAATATTTCAATAATCAAAGGGAATCAGCTTTTGAGACTTTTGAATATTGACCGAACTGCTACGGAAAGATCAGCTCAGATTACACTACTCGACAAAATCGAACTTTTTTTTTCCTCAAGGATCCAAACCGACTTTTTCTGATAGATATGGGGCTTTAAAATTTTTTAAAGAATTATGGTTTTTTTTCTATGGCAGAACTTTTTTTTGAAGAATTTTTGAAGTCTGGTATTTTTTTTTTTTGCTTTTTTCAGAGGTAGCGCTTGTTTTTTCACATAACTCTAGTATCTTACGTCTGGTTGTAAGAACTTTGCTATTTTGAAAAGATAATTGAAACAGCTAGAAGTTGATGCCAAACACTTTGTGATTTCAGCTTACGTCTGGGAAATATAAAGCATTGAAATGCAAAAATGATGATATTTGTGGGTATTTTTTACGAAATTTTGACTTTAAAAATAGAAAAGTCAAAAAAAATTATATCTTGTGTCCTCTATTTTTTTGTATAGGTGCGTTAATTTGGCGTCGTTTAAGGTATCGCTCATTAAAATCTATGGAGAGACTTTGGAGGTAAAATTCGTTAACCAAACCTAAAATATGGAAAAAATGAACAAAAAATACCTTTTTGAAGGCGGCGGGACCAACTGCCAATTGTGAACAAAGGAACGCGATCAAGTACCAAATGTACAACCCTTTTTCGTTTGCTTTGTTCCCAATTGGCAGTTGGGCCCGCCGCCTTCAAAAAGGTATTTTTTGTTCATTTTTTCCATATTTTAGGTTTGGTTAACGAATTTTACCTCCAAAGTCTCTCCATAGATTTTAATGAGCGATACCTTAAACGACGCCAATTAACGCACCTATACACAAAAAATAGAGGACACAAGATATAATTTTTTTTCGACTTTTCCTGAGTTTTTAAAGTCAAAATTTCGTAAAAATACCCCACAATATCATCATTTTTGCATTTCAATGCTTTATATTTCCCAGACGGTAAGCTGAAATCACAAAGTGTTTGGCATCAACTTCTAGCTGTTTCAATTATCTTTTCAAAATAGCAAAGTTCTTTACAACCAGACGTAAGATACTAGAGTTATGTGAAAAAAACAAGCGCTACCTCTGAAAAAAGCTAAAAAAAAAAATACCAGTTTTCAAAAATTCTTTAAAAAAAAGTTCTGCCATAGAAAAAAAAAAAATATCATCAAACCATTTCTAAGCCCCAAATCTTTAAGAAAAAGTTCGTTTTGTTCCTTGAGGAAAAATCGTGTTGACTAGTGTTATACTTCATAGAAATTAAAGTTCTTAAAACTATTGAGGAATAAAAAAAAGGAACGGACCGATATGTTTTAAATAGTAGGATTATTCAAATACATATATGTACATATTAGATACAAAAATACAGTATCCCAATTATTGCATTACAAATACAAAATCTGAATGATAAAAATGAGTTGTAGACATATATATAAGAATTGTAAAAATATTTTCCAAAGTTTAGGATGATTTGGATAAGCTCCCATATGCGTTATTTTCGGGATAACGACATATCTCCGAGCGACATATCTCCTGCCATACATTTTTCAGCAGGAGATATGTCGTTTTTGAAACGACATACGACATCCCGGAGAAATGTCGCTGTGCCGTTATTTTCATTAATAATAGCATTCATTTTAAATCCCACTGCAAATAAGTCAGAATTATTGTTAGGAACTAGGAATTTTGTGTTAGGAACACAAAACTATATTCACATATCATAATCTATTATTTCCACAGACCATTCCATTCACGTGGTTTATGACCCGTGAAGTGCCATCACTCATCAGTCGATCCCTCAAACTAGAACTAAAACCCAATCGAATCAAATTAAAAGATATAATCTAACCCCCGAATACAAGTAGTATTTCTAATCAGCAATCCAATAATCGAATTAGCCCCCAATCAGGGCCAACAGTAGGAAAAGAACGAGCCCCCTATCCATTTTTATACCCGTACTCAAAAAGAGTTAAGGGGTATATTAGATTTGTGGTAAAAGTGGATGTGTGTAACGCAGAGAAGGAAACGTTTCCGACCCCAAAAGATATATATCTAAGCACAATAGCCGAGCGATATAGCCAGCTGCTGTCCGCTGCTGTCTGTCGCTGCTGCTGCTGCTGCGATGAGCGCCAGATCTAGAGACTATAAGGCTGGGCAACCAAATTTGGTTTCCAGACTCATGTGATACCCACTGTTACAAGGATTCAATCGCCCCGCCCCCCCGCCCACACAAAGGACGAAAACGTGGGGCACATTTGCGATAAGTAAAGGATCGTAGAGAGCCCAACTACCAGACTGCGAACTGAAAGACGGTTCATAATTATAGCCAGATGACGAAATAATTTTCAGTTGCTTCCCTGCCCCCCCTGACCACTACAACACAACCATTCCCTCGCCCACACCGCCGCGTTCAGTGCGCGAGCAACCCTAGCGGGAGATGTAGAACTAAAGGGTACATGTATAACTACATGTTAGATGTAGAATATACATAATATATGTAATGTAATAACAGATGTAGCAAAAAAATGTAAAATGTAAAATTTTTTTTTAATGCTAAAACTAAATCATATGTTCAAAAATGTAAATACTGACTAGTACGGGTATAAGTAGAGTCGCGTCTTTAGAAGCGACTCACACGTTCTTTCTCGTTTATTTTATTCTCTCACCCCCTTACTCTCCGCCCATTTCAGTCGGATGTGTGTGCATCGGCCCTCAGCGAAGTGATTCCCGCGGTACTAGAGGGTTCGGATGGCTGCCTCCTGGCGATGGGCTACCCCGCCACTGGACAGCACCACACGGTGCTGGGAGGCGATGTGGCAAATGGGCAGGCATGTTCTTTGGGAGCCGCCCCCTGTGCTATTGCCTGGCTCTACAAGGGCATCCAGGAGCGGCGTCAGAAGAGCGGCGCTCGATTCTCTGTTCGCGTTAGCGCTGTGGGCGTCAGTGCCACCAAACCGGATGCACTCTCGACGGATTTGCTCATCTCGCATGCGGCTGGTAAGCAGATGGATGGGGCGGTAGTCTCAGTTCTCAGTTCTCATGCCACCTGTTTGCTGTCAAGGGCGAAATGAATGGACATTGTGGGGGCGTGTTGTAATGTTGCCCCTGGGCCATGGCGAATGGCGATGATGATGATGACTGGGGTCGGGTCGTCCCGTCGTAACTGGCACAATTTGAATAAACTTAACCTGCGAACCAGTGTTCCTCATGCCCCATGCCTCACCCACTTACCTCCCATTACCTCATCCCCATCCCACTCCTCCTCCTCCCTTATCCCTGGTTCTCAGTCGTCCCCTGGCAGTGCTCATAGAATGTGGCGTTTATTCCAACATAAAAACCTAATGTCCTTTTCATTCACTCCCCATCTACGTCTTCGTCACCGTCTTTGTCTTACTCTGGACTCCATCGCAAACTCCTGCTACTCTGCTGCTTCTGCTGCTTCTGCTGCTGGAACTCCTGCTACTCCTGGCGACTACACAGAATCTGACGACTCCCCGGGGATTTATTTGCGTGACGACTTCCTTGGCGGTCCAACGGAACTACGTGCACCCACCGCTGAGCGTGCGGCGCTTTTCCTCGACTCGGCTCTGGCCGGACGCTTAAAAAGTTCCGGTTCTACTTCCACGCCTGGAGGAGGGGGCACGGCCCCCTTGGAGTCCGCCCTCATCTTTACACTGCATGTCTACCAGTACAGCTTGTCCCGCAAGGGGGGTGGTAAGTGTCTACCTTATTGTTTGAGGGAAAAATACCCTTGCAGAGAGAAAGTATTATGGTTTTTAAAAGATAAATTACGAATTTTCGGGCTATAGAAAATTCGATACGAATTTCAGTTTATCTGTTTATAATGTATACATTATCTATCCTAAGTTTCTTAAGATATCTGGCTTAAAATTATCACAGGTTCTTCTTAATACTTCCTGCAGTATAGTATGTCGGAAACTAAGGGTTCTAAGGGATTTACATTTGCACTTACATGCATACTCTTATGTATGTATGTATGTGTTTTACAATCTACAAGCACAGCCAAAAATAGTCCTAATTCATTTTGCTTCCCTTTGAAAAATCGAATAAAAACTCGCAGTCTGTAGTTTCAGGACATTCTTCATATCTGAACAAAATTGTATATAAATCTGATTATATCAAAAATCTACCCTTAAAAACCTTAAATCTCCAAGGGTATCAAACGCTTCGGTCACCGAATCTCATTTCGTTATTTCTTGTTGCCTTTTGTTGTGTATTAGATGTTGGTGGGTTGCAGGCGTGTGGTGTAGTGATGGCTGCCACACTCAGTTGTTGTTGTTGTTGCTGCTGCTGTAGCCACTCAAGTGGCCCGCTAAATGCTTGACTGGCACTAGACGGGGAGGCAGCAGCACCATTAAAGTGTCGCATTTCCTACTCCAACACGAACTCCAATCCCCAATCCCACGCCAATCTGTCCCTTTCCCACACACAACCTCTGACTCCCAATCCCCTTTATTCTTTGTGATTTACAGTGGCTGGCGGTCGGAGTCGTTTACATATCATCGACTTGGGCGGCTGTGCCAATCGCAGCGGGGGTTTGCCCCTGTCTGGGATCGGCAACATACTGCTGGCCATATTATCGGGGCAGAGGCATCCGCCACACAAGGACCACCCGCTGACGCCGCTGCTCAAGGATTGCCTGGCGCCCATCACCTGCCACGTGGCGATTGTGGCCCACGTCCTGCACGACCAGAGCTACCAGGATGCCCTCTCCACCATCCAAATTGCTTCGCGCATACATCGCCTACGACGCCGCAAGCACCGCGTACCCATGCCCCTGGCCGTGGGCCTCGCGCAAGGCCTCAGCGGCGGCTCATCAGCTGGCTCTGGTGCGGATCCCTCCAGCTCTGAAATCTCCGCCGATACAGTCATCTATATGGGGCCCAATGACGATGCTACCGACGGCGAACATCCGCCTGTCTATCTTCCATCACTCAGCGCTGGCGACAATCGCGCGATAATGGGCAAGGCCATGAAGGTCAGTGGTCTGGAGAAGCCCCCAACGCAGATGAAAGCGGGACTCTCCAGTCCCATGATGATGAAGAAGGCAATGGCAGCAGTAGGGGAGAAGGGTAAGGATACAAAATATATACCTAACGACTATTATAGAGAAGATAGAGAACGAGAATAGTCGAAGAAACAATCACATAATGAGAATTTCTATTAAAACAAAATATGAACTATACGAATGATGTGTTCAAGGACCATTGACCATAACTATCCGATCGTTATGAAATGTTACAGATCAGTAAATAATACGTTTCAAAATAATTTAAATAATTTTAAGAGTTATATCTATCCAATAATGCTCGTACTTGGAAGAAATACAACCAATATTATAACCATTCCCGTCTATAGGCATAATTTTACTGCTTTATTCTCTGATAGTTTTAAAGTTTACAGTCTCTATTCAGCAGCTCTTTGAGTAGATTTTCTAGCTGTCCCTTTCTACATTTTCTTCCTTTCACACAGTCAAAAAGCTTCCCGGAAATAGTCCCATTGGCAGCCTCAAACGTCATGCAGGAGCAGGAGCCTGCTCGTCTCCTCTAGTCCCACACGAACAGCCGCAGCTGCAGCAACAGCATTCGCCGATACCCATACCCCGACATATGGTATCCAAGGGATCCAACGTACCATCGCCCAAAGGTTCTCCTCTACGTAGAGCGCACTCTGGTGCCCATTCGGGGGCACATCCAGGAGCAGCTTTGGAGCAACTTGAAGCAGGCATGAGAAAGATTACAGAGGAGCAATGGATTGATGGACCACGAGTATCAAGAGCCAAAGTGGCGGAGGCACGGCACCTGATGCGCGAAGTGAATCACGTGAAGCAGTGCGAGACGTGGGTGGATGGACCCAAATCCCTGTCCTGTCGATCCCTCACGGCGGGAAATCTCCCGGCGGCTGGAGGTCAGACGCAGGGCTATGGCTTCATGGACTCCCACAAGAAGACCATGATCCGTCAGTGGGTGGAGACCCAAACGTCGCAAGTCTTCCAGAGTCCGGCCACGTTATCGGCCAGCAATTCCCCCACGGCGCTACATTGGAAGCTCTCGCAGCTGAAGCAGAAATCTTTAGATCTCCCCGATAGATCCGCATTCGTTCCTGAACAATCGATGGATCTTCCACAGCAGTGCTTCGAGAGTCTGCCCCTCCTCGTACAGGACATGTCGCTGCCGCCGGATGGCGATGAGGATCAGGATAGCGGTCCCTCGGAGGTGCCACCCGCTCTTCCGCTGTTCGACGATCCATTGGGATCCAGGGACATCTCACACGACAGCCTGCACCGCATGCTCTCGCGGCACGTCTCAAGGGAACAACTACACGAGGCTGATCTCGTGGCCAGTCGTGCCTCCTCATCGCATCATCATCGTCCTTCATCACAGCGCAGCATCGATTGTGGGCTGCAGGTCACGGAGGAAGAAATTGCCCGCACCATGGCCCGGGAGCAGGAGCATTCAATGCATCCGCTTTCGGCTCTGAGCCACTGCGACAATCTCTCCTTTGTGTCCAGCTTCAATATGGCCTGTGAATCCTTCAGCGAGTGTGGAGAGAGAGCCAGGTAAGGGAGAATTTTTTTAATTAAGCTTTGTTTTTCTTTTGATTGGATTTGATTGAAAAGCTACATCTACATGTCAAGATGCGTGTGCCTGGACTGAAAAACCTTCCACCCTGCGACAGCTATCATTTCAGCATCGTGAATCTCTCCCGTCCGACGGGGCCTCGACAAAAATGTTTCCACTAATATACCCCTCCTTTATGCTATCATTTATAATATTTCCAGACACCAGTTTGATCAACTGGCACGCCTACACGAGATCTTCACCTCCCAATTGGCCATGGCCGAGGTCACGCCCTCCGCCGCGCTCTTCCGCACGGACGTGAGCAGTGTGTTCAGCGAGCCCGTGTTCCGCTTCAATGTTGGGCAGAGCAGCGTCTGCAGCGAGCCAGCCTACCGCCTGACGCCGAGTCCGCCCAAGCAGCCGTCGCACAGCCCCAGCCAGGGATCGCTGCCGAGTCTCAATGGCATCATGGAGATTGCAGGAATGGATGACTATGCCCTGTTGCGGCAGCCGGATGGCGCCTCCGATCCGAGTCTGCCAAAAAGCGAGAAACGTTTCGCCCCACAGCACGACGACATCTGCGAGCTGGACGAGAAGGCAATGGCAGCGGCGGTGGGTAAAAGAAACTCATTGGAGGATGCCCAGCATAAGCTCAATGAGATTACGAACATCCTGCCACTGGCGGCACAGTCGAGGCTGCCACTGCTGCCGCTGAACACCAGTTCGGAGGCGTACGACAGCGGTCATGACTCCAACTCCACGCCGCGGACATCGAAGCATTCGGGCATCTCGCGACGGGCGGAGAGCGGCTACCACAGTGTGGCCACAGTGCGGGACTCCGACGAGAGCAGCTTCGCCTCTGGCATGTCCAAGGGTCAGCGGCATCGCATCACCATATCAGGTGGAGGAGGAGCAGTTGGTGGAGGAACCTCCACGGGTAACTATCAGCGACATGGCCATGGCGGCGGCCACAAGAAACATCGGCATCGCCATGAGGGCAGCGGCGCCGGCAACAAGGGCCTCTGCAACTGGCTTCTCACTCCCTTCTCCTGCACATATCCAGAGACTGAGGGTGAAATCAGTGATTTCTAGGAAGCAACAACAGCAACATTAGGAGGATGAGGACCAGTCCAATCACCCACCAAATGAAAACCAGAGCTAAGTCCAGCATTCAAATGGCCAAAAAAAAACAAAATAAGAAAAATATCATAAACATCTAGGACGAGATCAGATTAATGATCGGAACGATCACAATTGTGTAGGAGAACGTAGGAGAACAGACACATCCTTTGGTGGATCTTTTGATAGCGACTGATTAACTTTTACTAGGCGACGGTTGCCATACAAGACAAAGAAAACAAAGGCAACAAACAAACACAATTTTTAAGTAATCTAATAACTAACCCAACAACTACCTTAATTATGATAATACGATAATAACTAATAACTACAGTGCGTTTTGCAGCTAAAAGGCAGTTGAAATGGGGTTGAATGGGTTATGATGGATATGGCTGCAATTACACAAGCGGTTTGGTTTTACCTGTCACGCGCTATGCAGCAGCGCGGCTCAGTTGATTTTCTATTAATGCCTGGAATCTGTAGGAATCTTTGGTTTGGCTGGTGTAACATCATTACAATATATAGCCATTTCCATCTCCCGCATATCAAATTTTTCATGCACGATTATTTTGATAGAGCCTCATCTGATCTATTTATACTATTTTTATGAACCCAAGATTTAGTATGAATAAAGGTAATAGAGAAATTTTATCACCCATATCATTCATTAGAGCCAATAAGCAGAAATTAAGACTTAGGAAAACTAAAAAGGACACATACTCATATTTATATACACATATGTATGTATGTATTCTAGAAAACCCATCCTTGGTTCAAGTTTATCCAAATCGGTTATTAATATCAATCTAAAATAAAGTCTTAGAAATTAATGATTTTTCTAGGATTTTATAGTTAGGTTATAGATAGAGGAATATTTTCCAATATCATAGAAAAATAGTCTTTATGAAAATTTCTGTTTGTTTCCTTTATTTATGTTTCATAAAAATTATTAGAATATATTTTTTCTAGTGTTTCTTTTTAAGATATTTGAAGCTTACAGTCATACATGTCTTTCACTTAAAATCCATTTCAAAACGTTTTCAAAATCTTCAGCTGTCTTATAGTTTCGCAACGTACTGTATATGCGCTATAAATCAATCGAACCATTTGAATCGTTCGACTCATTCACTCACTCACTCACTAAATACACGCATAAGTTCAAACGGGGCTTTAAAAAGTATCTTAAGTTGCCAGATAGCATAATGGGGTACATATATTATTGGGAATGGAAATACATATGATATAAACCAGAATACATAAGGAATTCTGAAAGAGAAAGAAAATAGTATAGAGATCCCAAGCCGTTAGTATCCCAAACTGTATCTATAAAAAATAACACAAAATATATATACATAATCAGGCTACAATCACAACAACTTTACAATGCAGAGATAAATCTATATACATACAACATCTACAATATATATATATATATATATATAAAGTATATATACATACACGATATATCATATATAGCTATTTATTGTTTTAGTTTTGAGTTATCACATATCGCATAAGTATTGCTAAATGTTGAATGTTTGCTTATTCAAACGATTTATTGCCAATTATAAGTTACACGAAATGTTTAAATTAATTGTTAGTTAGCTAAAGTTATTCACATCTACTACGTAACCCAAACAAAACCAAAAAAATAAACGACAAGAACACTCACTGACTATAAGGTAGTAAAGAGAGAACGTTTTTTGCTAAAGTAGACAAATGTTAAACATACAATTTTGTTGCCATTTTTGCCTAAATAAACTATGTTACAAAACGAACAAAAAGAAAATACAATGATGAAACATGAGGAAATTCAACAAAAATAAATCAATATATATAGTATATATTTATCAGAGATATAAATATTCTTTAAGCGATTGGATAGATGGATTTTAAGGAAAAAGCCCTAATGCAATATTCTATAAATACACAACATTATATTATAATGTTTATTATAACATTATTAATATAATATTTATACATACATACATATATGCGTAAAAAGAGTAAAACAAAAAAATGAAAGATGCCGCACCTACGGGAATATAGCTAAATTCTACTTTTTTTTATCATCTAAGAAGCGTTAAGTAATATCTTTTAAATGCCTTTATTTTTTAGTCATTATTCAGCCATTCAACATCACACATACATATGTATGTAAATCGTACATTCAATGAGAAATGTCTAACACTAATTATATTGCATTATCCATTATCCATACGATTATTATTCAACTTATCGAGCGTGCATAATTAATCACTGACAAATCCCCCAAACGTAACTCGTCCACTCGCTATGCTTTTAAATTTTATACGATAAAATCACCTAAGCCCCCTCCCAACAAAAAAAAGAAACACACGAAACCTAACTTCTTTCAAACCCAAATTGCAATTTGCAGCCTGGCACACACACACGCACATCCACGTTCAACCAACGTGCAACATGCAAAATATATAGAAATATGATGGAGTCGTCGACTTCGGCGCTGAATACAGACTAATTATTTTTTATAATATAAACAAATTGACAGCTGGTTTTATTTGCTTACTCTGGGAGGGTGGGTGGTACATAATTGGGGATGCTACATGTGGCACAGCATGGTATGGCATGGGGAGATGGTTATTTTTGTGCCTCAGTTGGGCAAATAAAGATGACGTTTTATAGATAGAGGCATGTGCGATACAGAGAGAACTGCCAAATATCGAGGCAGCACATAGAGTCGTAGATCTGAAGCATGGAGCGTGCTGTGGCCACACCACTACCCCCAACCTCTTTCTGCAAGAACAGATGATAAGAACGTGTACTGAAGGGTGAAATGTCGAACAATAAAACTCGAAAGGCAGAGCCAGTGCTCTACAAAGACGCAAGACGTATACCCTAAATGCCTACAGGGATATAAAAATTCTATAGAATACACATTTTGCAGGAAGTGTTGGGGTATTTTTTAGAAACTGAAATGTATTCTCACTAGTACCAACAATTATGAAACACCTAGATGATGACCCATGTGAGTAACAAAGTGAACGATTACACCGTTGCTCTTAAAGAAATATCTAAATACGAGGCGAATAAGAGTAGGCTTCGCTACGAGAAGCAAGATATTGCATTATAGAGCACAGCAGCCCTCGTGGAGCATTAGATAAAGATGAAACGAATCATAAGCTAATCGATAAATAGGCTAGATACGACAAAAAAGAATAGTTTATTATATAAAGTGTTCTTATAAATCTAAATTAAACTGAGTTATATCTTTCAAAACAGTCTGGAAAGCACAATGGAAACACTGTGCAATGTAGGATGTGGTGGGTGGGTAGTCCCACTGGAAGAGAGCTAGCCGTAAAATGAGATCGGTTGTTCGGTTTATCTTACTGTATCTTAGTGTAGCTACTACAGGAAACTTATTTTCTTCATGCTGGATATACAATTATTCCGATCTTATGGGGATAATGGTTTTTATCCCCGATCGGCCGAATAATTATTTAGAATAAATAAGAACACGGCGCAGCCGTAAAATTCGAATGTATGTATGTTCTGTATTATCATCCTTCGCTGAGTGCAGCTTCGCTCGGCTGCGTAGAGTTGTAGATAACGAAGAGCAAGCTTCCAAAAAGCGCTTAGCAGGGCAAGCAAGTACAAAGCATGAGCGAAAATAATCATAACATGAACTAAGTAGTAAACAAACATACATATGCGGCTGTAGGCCAACAATAACATTGGTAAAGCAGCTAGTCGGCGGGGCTCTGCTCCGAATAGAAATTATAGATACAATTCTATTCCTTATAAAAGTTAAAAGTTAAAAAGCAACTCAAATTGAAGACAATCCTAAAGAAATTTGTATTCCATTTCAATGGAATGATAAAATGCAGCATCCAAATGTAACCTCAAAATCCACAGACCCTTCCTCTCCGTTAGAGTACAAGCAATAAAATGTGTTGGCACCTTCTGGCAAATGCCGCGCTCTACAATGCGAAAAAGTCGTATAACTAAACTTCTATCGCAAAATCCCCCCAACACCAGCACATCCTTCACTTTGTCCCATCACCTTCAGGATCCCAGCCTTTCACCCTCCTGCCACTTTCGCTGCAGCGATTTTTCTTGTTTGCTGCCTCCGTTCGCTGCGTCTTCGTCTTTTGTCTGCCGCCGCCGCCCTTTTCGTGTTCCTTTCCTCGCAAACGTCGCCATTTTTTTGCGCCCCAACTCCTGTTTGCGAGGACTCTCCCGCTCCGATACGCTTTTTGTTGTGCTTTTACAACCCTCTTATCGGGAAACTTTAAATTTTCGCATTCGCAGTTCGCAGTCACAAATGCAAATGCCGCTCCGCCCCGCCCACGCAGGAGTGGGAAGTGGGGTGCAGGGAGTCCCGCGTACCCTCCTGTAGTCTCTCAAAGGACCTGCTTGCTTTGTTGTTGTGTTTGTTCTCCTCCTTGGGAGTCTGCTCGCCATATGTTGTCAATTGAGGCGAAAATCGAAAAGCCGTCTATGCCATGGAATTGTTTATGACCCCAGCGGATTGAGGACATTCGAGGGACGACTCTTTATGACTCTGTGTAGCTCCTCCTCCCTTTCCCACTCCACTTATTTTCCTGCCTTTTCCTGGCGACTTTTTCCTAGTTTTTTCCCACATTTTCTGTCTCAATTTTTCCTGCTGTCGCCTTTTAATTATGGCTCGCAAATTATTTTCGAATTTTTCCATCATACTGCGGAAATAAATGTTGACTGCAATTTCCCGAAGTTCCCTCCGCACTCCAGGCCCAATTCCAAACAGGATGGAAAAGGATTCGAACCATTTCTGGTTTGCTTTTTCACTTTTTTTTTTCAGGTGTTTTTCACTCACTGTGTGTCTGTGTTTTTTCCGACCAGGTAGCAGTACGAGTTGCAAGAGAGTCCACTTTTTGATGGGGGGAGGAGTACGAGCAGGAGCTGGAGTTCCATTTTGATGTGGACTGTTCTTGTTGGTGTTTGTGACCTAAAAAAATATTCACACACACTTCACTTGTCAAGTTGAATAAAGCAAAATGCTGCCCCCAAATGGAGGGGGCAATACAAAAATAAAAATGGCAAAAACTATATATAGAGAAACTTATACATGGAACATACAGTGCAGCTCCATAGCTATAATGCTATATTTTAACTCTAACAAAGCACGTTCCAATATCAAAGGCATTATTAAGTCTTCCCACCCACTAAATGGAGATGGAACCGTTTTTTAAACAAAGTAGTTCCCAATAAAATTGGTTCCAGAAAGAGTTCTAACAGTGAACAAAAAAATACTTCTCTTGATCGACAAAAAACTTTTAACAGTTTCCCATACCGGGAATGTAACCCGGGCCTCCCGCGGGCCTCCCGATCCACTAGACAATATGGAATATGATAAAAACCGTGTCAACATTTAATTTGGAGTGCCATCTCCTCTTTAGAATTCGTATTGTACAACCACTATGTATACCTACGTACTATGTAGTACATAATATTTTAGTTTGTGGGCCAACTATGTTTATTATATTTATTCTATTTTATTTCTATACTTTATAAATAGATTATTTTTTATCTGATTAATCTGAATAAACTTTCATCGAAAAGAATACATAGCATAGCGATATCAATACAGAATGATATTCATATGTATACAGACTGTTCCAATGAAGTTTCTTAAATTTATAGAACATTATTCCACTCCACAATTTTAGTTAGCACAATCGACACAACTTTTGCACCGCACTGTACACCCGCATGCACTTTAGGGACATTTGTGGTGGTATGGGTTGTGTGGTGCACTCATTAAAATCTGTCCCGTTTGCAATTAGAGTCTGTCATTTGACTGGCAGCGTTAAAATATGTACATAAAATATGCGTACATAAATATAACAACGAAATCAGCGGGCAATGGGGAATAGTTCTAATTTAGCGGAGAAGGGTAATTGGGGGGTATTGACAAATGTCATCAGCATTTCTCACTAGGAGGCAGGCTGACACGGTTGTGATTGCATTCATAATCGGCACTTCGTTCATTTGCAATTTCATTTATCGAAGCGATCACAGCGGGTTTTTAATGGGAATTTTAGTGCATGAAATTGTTTTCGACTACACTTCTGAATATATGGACATCATTTCTAGCTCTTTCCAATTTTTTGTATTAATTACTACTGAAAAGAGGCTTTTCTAATATTAATTTGCTATAATGTTGTATTTTCTCTTTTATAAGTAGAATAGTTCATAAGACTATGCTAATAGAATTGGTTAAGGGTTAGGGCTTATTTTAAATATCCACCTATAAATACTTTTGCATAGATAGCGCACACATTTCATCAAAAGCACTTGGAATTTTCCAGAAAACTTAACGATTGAGACCGTATCTAAATACAATTGCTTTGTTATCTAGTCCGTATCTATTGATAAGAACCTTTCGCTTGCAGATAGAGCGATGAATCAGCGACGAATGGCTTTGTGTCTCAATTGGAGAACGACTTAGGGATGTACAAGTACGATTGAGGGTACGGGTGGGTGGTGCACTTATTGCGCATCGGTAATCGCCGATATATCATTATAATGTGTGTGACACACCAGGGAAGCCAAAGAAGTGGCCTCCTTATAGGGGGGAATATATGTATGGATGGGGTCAGGGGTAAGGAGAGGATATGGAGTGTTGTGGCAATTACAAAAACATGAACAAACATGAACAGCAATTTAAAAGCCGACAAATGATATTTAATACAGTAGAAAAAGGGCCAAAGTCAAATTCATGGAAAATTAAATGCAGAAACCCTTGAAGCGTAGCACGAGGCGACCGCAAGTCTTGAGCATAGTTAACCCCAAGGACTCACTTCGCCTCGAGGGCCTTGCCGAGCAGGTGAAAGAACAGCGCCGTGCCGCATACCTGCATATCCTCGCCAGCGTCCTCCTGCATGCTGTCCATCAGCACCCCACCATAACGCACCGCAATCATCACAAGCATCATGCGGATATAGAAGAAGTTGCGCTCCATCATTCCAAGAAAACCCAGTGACACAATGTTCCCCAGTATCGTGAGATTACGCAGACTATCGCCCGTGTCGCAATCGTGGCGACCCTTGAAAAGGGAACAGCACAGATCGAAGCTCAGGGGCAGCACAAAGCAGGCATGGCCCAGGGTAACGGCACTCATCATTCCCGTGGATTGCATATACAGATCCATATTGACCAGCGGTAGGGGAGCCAGCTCCAGGAACCCATGGCTGATGTCGCGCAGCCGTCTGCACTCGGTTGGCTGGCCGCTGGCAAAGATCACACGTAGCAGGCCGAGACCTGCGACCGCAACGCCCACCGCACCGGCCGCATAGGCAAATGGGTACTCCTCTGGCTTCAGGTGCTGTACAACCCTCAGTGCCGTACACAGGAGGAGGCTGTTGTACAGACAGCGGGCACAGCGACCCGATATGGGTTCGCCCATCACCAGCTCGAATTTTGACTTATTTTGAGTGTTTTGTTTACAATGGGATGAACGTTAAATGAATGATTGCTGTGGAAACGTACATGTGTTATGTGGAAATTACACGACAAAATACAAGACCGATGTTATTTTTGAACACTTTTTACATTTTACATTTTGCAGCCTCCACGAAAAAATAAACGGAAATCCATCCTAATACCACTTAAAAACCTAAAACAACCACAAATTTAAATGCCGTTCAAGGAAATACCGCCACTGCATATTAAAAATGGGATAAGTATGCAAGAATTTACACAGAAATGCCAGCAATTCCTTGTTAAATATCCAATATGGTTTGCGTATTCCCCTCTTTAAAGCGCGCTTGACGATGTGAGCTGCTGTACTGCTGCTTTTGCTTGCTGGTGGCATAACCCCAATGGAGGATAACGAAGCGAATATGCAACTTGGCAACACTTGAGCATTCTGGGCACGCACCACGCCCCCAACCACAGGAGCGCCCCCCGACCAAAGTAAGCATAAAGAAAAATAATAATTCAACTTTATTTGTGCCACACATACAACATACACATACCTCTCCTATATTCCCATTCCCTAACAAAGGACGCGCAGGCAATGGCAGCAGGCAAAGGAGAGCAGGATGAATGCTGGGAATGAGAGTCGACTCGGTCGCGGACGCGGGGATTGACTCCCCGTTCTCAGGCAGCTGTTCCGTGTCAACACCCAGCAGGCAACACCATCACCAATCCATAGCAAATTTAATCGAAAGCGTGTAATTGACCTCAGTAAATGGCACAGGAATGGGTGTGGAAATGGGTCTAGGAGATTGGCGCCGGTGTGGGAGACATGGCTTTGTCGAAAGCTTAGCCAGCTGCCATCAAATCATTATCAGTTAAATAAACGACAGCAGCAAGTTAAAAAGATAACGAAGTCGCCGTCGTCGCAGCACAGGAGCAGAGGCCGAATCGGAAGGAACAGCAGCAACAGATGATATCTCGCCCCGCACTCGGAGACGGTGGCTTTGATTCGGAGTGGCACGGCACAACCCCATCTGCAGGCCAAACCCTCCTACCTCCTACAATGGACAGACGTAAGCCGCCTCGTTTTATGCTAATTCAAATGGAAATGGAGCCAGTCAGCAGCTGCCGGCGTGGCAAAGTGGAGTATAGGATGAGTTCTGAACCAAGTTGTCAACGGCATCCCTCGCATCGCCAGAGCCAAAAGCTCGTTTCATTATGCGACTGCTGGCTGATGTGGGCGTGGCGTGGCTGGTGCCTTGATCGGAGCTCAGAGATAACGCACAGAAAAGCTGGGTAGCAGAAGAGGCAACGGCTATATATGCAGATGTTTTCAGGATATGCGGCATCAGAATACGGTCCGTCGTCGTGGTCGCATTCCTTGTGAGGAAAATTCGCCATGATTTTCATATAATTTCCGCATCATAAAGCTGCGAAAGTAATTTTCCACTTGAAAGCACAGAGCAGCCAAAAAGTGTGAAGCGAAAGGAAGCAGGAAGCATGCAGCAAACCAGGGGATGGGGTCAGACATTGGACCAGGCTAAGATCCCAAGCTGTCTGCCTCTATTTTTGTTTGTGTGTGTTGGTTGATGTTACTTTTTGTTTGGTAATGTCGATGGGAGCTTGTTTTTTGCCACATTGAGCATTTTGTGTTGTCACCTTTCGGGCGCACGGGAATGCAAATACGACCAGGCCGAAGCTCTGATTCCTTCGCATTAAGTTGCTAGCAGCAGGAAGTATCTGGAGCTGGAGGCAGCTCCAATGACATCTCTTTAAGGCGACATAAGATTAGGCTAAGCAGCTGGGCACACCCCGGAGCACACACAACACAGCAGAGAGAGAAACACGACCGACACACACAATAGGTAGTGGCCGCGGTGTCGGGGCAGTAAATTTTAGTATGCGGCTCACGTGCCAGACAACCAAATTCACTGGGAAATAAAGAAAAAATCCAAGAGAGCTCTCCAAGGGGGATAAGGACTAGAGGATACCCAATGCTCTGAAAACTGTTTAACAAGATAAAAATCTGTCAGTGAGAGGAAAGATATGGAGATACTACCCAACTATCCACACTATGACTGTAAAAATTATAAGACAGCAGTGCTATTTGATAGTTTATTAAATAATAGCTTTATGCAGAAGAAACTGCTTGGCTATACCTTTGCTGATATCTGAGATTCAAGCATTATTCAAGCATTTAAGCCTGGATTACTGCTGCAAATACAAAACACTCTCTGGCACTCCACCAAAAACACGGTATACAAATTCTAGAAAGAAAGAAAAACCAGGAACCAAAAAAAATAGGAAGAAGCAAAAAAAATATATAAAAATACAACAAAGAAGAGGATAGGAATATCGGAAGGAAGCGGCAATAGAAAACGTACAAAAGCGAAACACGCAATGCAATGAAAACACGGAAGAGAGGCGCCAGGCTGCTGGATCCGATTTTGGAGCACGAAGCTCCCAGCTTCCCCTGAACTTATCCCATCCGTATTCCTGGGAGAGCGGGCAGGCGGAAGGAAGTCAGTCAATGCCCGCAGCAGAAAAGGCCAGCAACAGCAAATAGAAAGCGACAAAGTAGAAAAAAAATGAAACAATGATATATAGAAAGAGAGAGGGGGAGGATATAGAGTGTGGGTGGACATAGAGGAATGGCCTAGAACATTGATAAATTTGAGTAATTCCTGCAGGTGGAAGGAAGCAAAGAAAGACAGGAAAGAAAAGTAAAATCAAAAGAGCAGCAGCAGCCAGCGGTTCCATATGTGTGAGTATGTGTATGTGTATGGGGGACAACTAAAGAGTGATATAGACAGAATGTGTTTCTACGACATGGGCCTTTAGAGGCCGGTGTCGTACTAATTACTGATTTAATAAACAGTGGAACTTCCCTGAAACCAAAACAAAACACACGCCGAATGTGTAACACATCTGTTACAGCAGTAGGATTTCCATTTGGTGATATTTTATTGAACTTAGAAGTTACCTTAAATATTTATCTGTTTAGTATGGGTTATTTTAAATTAAGTTATCTAACGTGTATCCAAACCCCATATGAATTCAACGGCGGACTTTTAACTTACTTGAAATACAATTACAACTTAAGCGCGAGTGAAATCCAATTAATTTCTTGCCTAAAAGAGGTTGTTACAGAAGTCCGACTGTATTCCCATTCACCCTCACTATTGTCGTCGGAGGGGAAGATACCACGCAGTATCTAAACTCTCACACTAATTACTCGTATCTTATCTAATCAAAAAATGTGATAGCCTTCGGTTTAAGTTACTCTAAGATTAGCTGCCAAGTATACCTTTCGTTGCCAGCATTCCCATTCCCAAAGAGAGTAGTAGCCAAGAACAAAGCAGGAATTGGCATAAAAAGTGTACAAAATTTAAATAAATACAAAATACAGAAAAAGAACAGCAAAAAAATAAACCACGATGAGAGACTGAGATGCAAATCGTTGGGAATTTATCAGCAAAGGGTAGTGGGGGAGCGGAGGCGGGAGTTGGGGCAGAGTGAGAAGTGGAAAAAGTTTTTTATATTGCCAAGTTGAGGCTGGGTTAACGTTGTTAACTCCTGGGGGCTGCAGCTGGGGCTGATGTGGCCCCAACTTGGGTATTTAGCGGGAATCGATTTTTGTTGATTTGACGCCACTTTACGGAGAGGCAATCTCGCCCCAGGATCTCCCCTTTTTACACCACACTACCCTTCCTGAACGTGTGAGTGTTGTGCTGCTGCTGCTGCCCCTAACCAGGCCTGACCTTTCAACCTTTCGCCAGAGAGAAAATCGAGAATGACAGGCAGGCAGCACGTGGCGAGCGGACGGGTAAACAGGCGGACAAGGCATCATCATCATCAACCAGGGCAATGGCAACTCATCATCATCATGGTAGTCTGCGAAGTTTATTTAGGCAAAGCGCCTCACTTTTGGCTACACTCCTCAATTTGATGGCAACAAATTTGCATCGTAAAAGATACTTGCACGGAGAATAACAGAACCCCCCATGCACCCCAACCACCGTAGCACATACACTATAGCCCCAGCAACCCAAAAATTACCCCCAAACCCAGAGACGATAAAAATACGAAAAACGTTTGTTTAGGCAGAGACTCTCCCACCCCCCTCAGTCGTAAACTAAGGACAAAATCGTAAAAAGTGAGCAGTTCATTTAAATTTTTAATATTTAGGCTACCATAAGCGTATCCTCTCGTGCATCCCGAAACCTTAGACGTATCCATCATACCGATTCACTTACTTTTGTTTTATGGTCCAAACATTTTCGACCACAATCTAGGAGTGGCCTTTAAGGCGAGGGATTAGGAGGACGACGACGAAAGATTTTGAATTTATGCCTTTAATTAAATACAATCTTTTGCTAGGTGGATGATTCTTGGGAGATGACTTTTTTCTGTGGCATTCTTAATAACGGGCCATCAAATAGAGTTGTATTTCTGTGGATTATATTCCATGCAGCCGGAGCATCCCTACCATCCTTCCGTCCCACATCCTTCTCCCGAAAAACACGCATCCACGATTTATTTTCACATGTATATGAGCGAGTGGTGGGGTGGGGGAGTTGCTGGGATGGCAGAGAAATGGTAGAAATGATGGCTGGAATGTGGGGGTATGTAAATTTTTTTAGTAAAAATTCACTTCGTGATAATGGATTTTCCATGTCGTATACGCCCAAGTCGCAGTCGCTGTAGCCGTAGCTGTCGCTGGCCCAACGACAAATACAATCTGCTCCAACCTCACAGAACCAGCCCCACTCCCACTTCATATAACCTCTCCAAAGCAGCAGCCAAAGACCCCCCGGAACGATGGCGAAAATTACCTCCGCCCTCGACCACGCATCCATTCCTGGTTCGTTGGGGCATGATAGATGACAAGTCTCGGTAGGTGTACGGAGTGTTTTCGGTGTATGCGTGCGTGTGTGTGTGTGTAGCAAGTTCTTGGGTACTGTACTTGAGGGTATCAAGCGTGTTTCAAAATTTGAATTTAAAACAAACACACACACACCGTATACTGAGCTTCTGTGTGACTGTTAAAAT